CATTGAATTGCATTATAATTATAACCTTAAATTGCAAGCTTCACCCTTGTTGGTGTTCGACTGGTGGCAGCTGATAAAACCCGTTTGCTCTACTGACATCTAACCCCTGGTTAGCTCAGTTGGTAGAGCGCTCCACTTGTAATGGAGAGGTCCCGGGTTCGATACCCGGACCAGGCGGATTTTTTCGGTCGCTCACCAGTCACCTAGCTGTGTTTGGAGATTTATGTTTGTCCTTCGTCCCTCTCGTTCCCCTTTTCCAGGGATTACTTTCGTCATGCTTGTCCAGCTCGCTTGCACCTTTGCATTGAATTGCATTATAATTATAACCTTAAATTGCAAGCTTCACCCTTGTTGGTGTTCGACTGGTGGCAGCTGATAAAACCCGTTTGCTCTACTGACATCTAACCCCTGGTTAGCTCAGTTGGTAGAGCGCTCCACTTGTAATGGAGAGGTCCCGGGTTCGATACCCGGACCAGGCGGATTTTTTCGGTCGCTCACCAGTCACCTAGCTGTGTTTGGAGATTTATGTTTGTCCTTCGTCCCTCTCGTTCCCCTTTTCCAGGGATTACTTTCGTCATGCTTGTCCAGCTCGCTTGCACCTTTGCATTGAATTGCATTATAATTATAACCTTAAATTGCAAGCTTCACCCTTGTTGGTGTTCGACTGGTGGCAGCTGATAAAACCCGTTTGCTCTACTGACATCTAACCCCTGGTTAGCTCAGTTGGTAGAGCGCTCCACTTGTAATGGAGAGGTCCCGGGTTCGATACTCGGACCAGGCGGATTTTTTCGGTCGCTCACCAGTCACCTAGCTGTGTTTGGAGATTTATGTTTGTCCTTCGTCCCTCTCGTTCCCCTTTTCCAGGGATTACTTTCGTCATGCTTGTCCAGCTCGCTTGCACCTTTGCATTGAATTGCATTATAATTATAACCTTAAATTGCAAGCTTCACCCTTGTTGGTGTTCGACTGGTGGCAGCTGATAAAACCCGTTTGCTCTACTGACATCTAACCCCTGGTTAGCTCAGTTGGTAGAGCGCTCCACTTGTAATGGAGAGGTCCCGGGTTCGATACCCGGACCAGGCGGATTTTTTCGGTCGCTCACCAGTCACCTAGCTGTGTTTGGAGATTTATGTTTGTCCTTCGTCCCTCTCGTTCCCCTTTTCCAGGGATTACTTTCGTCATGCTTGTCCAGCTCGCTTGCACCTTTGCATTGAATTGCATTATAATTATAACCTTAAATTGCAAGCTTCACCCTTGTTGGTGTTCGACTGGTGGCAGCTGATAAAACCCGTTTGCTCTACTGACATCTAACCCCTGGTTAGCTCAGTTGGTAGAGCGCTCCACTTGTAATGGAGAGGTCCCGGGTTCGATACTCGGACCAGGCGGATTTTTTCGGTCGCTCACCAGTCACCTAGCTGTGTTTGGAGATTTATGTTTGTCCTTCGTCCCTCTCGTTCCCCTTTTCCAGGGATTACTTTCGTCATGCTTGTCCAGCTCGCTTGCACCTTTGCATTGAATTGCATTATAATTATAATCTTTGGCTCCTTTTGGGTGTTATTGTTTCTCTCTAAAATTGCATTATCTACAATTAATCTTTACCTTAACTTGCACTATAGGTACTCTAGTTCCCATTAAACCAAACATTTTGTGGAATGCAATTATTATTTTTGTTTTAATACATTTCCTCATAAAGTAACTTTTTTCTGGAACTTGTTAAGCATAGTATGTAGTAGAAGTGTTCTAAAAGACTGGAACTTTAGAAGTCATCAATGCTAGTGGGATTTAATCCACCCTGAAAGTATGAATCAATTTAAGGGAATGGTTCAAAAGTTGACCCTCCCAGGCCATGTCTTCCCGAAGGGGGATATGGCCCGGGAAGGTAAACTTTTGAATGCTCCGCAGTTAAAAATGATGACATCCAAAGTTTCAGCCTTATAGGCCAATTCTTCGACATGCTATGCTTGTCAAGCTCCAGAAAAAAGTTTTCCTAATGACTTCATTGGGAAATGTATTAAAACAAATATTGCAAGCCACCAAACTTTTGTTTCAATGTGTATACTGTAAGTTAAAGTAAAAATTAACCATAGAAAATGAAATTCTAAAGCAAAACAATAACGCAAAATCAACATAACAATTTGAAAAACTTTCTGTTTTAGAATTTTCAGTTTTCATCATAAAGGCGGGACATTTTTTTAGACTATGGGTATCTTAAACGGATACTGAAAGGAAAATTGAAATAAACTTCTCACATTCAGAATTAAGTTAAACATGATCAACAAAACCTGCAATCGACAGTCGCATGTTTGCATTTTGAACGGATGGCTATATTTTTAGTTCCAAACGACCGATCCTAGCGGAGATCCAGAGCCTCTAGCTCATTGGGGGCATCACACTTAACTTCACGAGCAAGCCTTCAGGGAGGCTGGCACGGTTGTGATCTTTGTCACTTGACGGCAACAATGCGTTACAACCTGGCCGTTCGAGACACCCGTTCCCATGTCTGCGTTCGTCTTTTCCAAGTTTTTAACCCTTTTCTTTAAACATTTTATTTCTTCGTCCTGTTCACAGAACGCAGGAGTTGAATAGGTGAGGGAGAGGAGGGAAATCTGGTTCGGCCAAGTTTCGACAGGGAGCGCACACGCAGCTTGCTGTCATACTTCCGCGGAGCAGTGCTGCTTTTATAGGGAAGGAATGTAACGGCATTCAAAGTAGTTTTGGGAACATACACTAGGTGCAACCTGGTAATCGGCAAAAAAACAAAAATTTGGGGTTTCTGTGGTGCGGCCAGAACATGGTTGACATTCAGACAATAAAATAGGCGTTACCATTTCGTTGCAGTACCACTTTAACTTGTTCCTTGGGGTATTTTAGTCTATGACAAATCTGAATGAGGTCTTTGAGCTTTCAGAACATCAAATGACACATTTCCTCGTACAACATTTCCTATCAAAAAGTGAAACTGAGAAAAATGAACTTCCAACTTTAGGTTTTGTATATTTTCTACGAGTCCTAGGCACACTAAACCCACCTGTAACATAGATAGCACCTTCCTCCTTGAGATCTCATAATCCCCCTGGCAATGGCTACCAGCTTGTGCCGTTTGTGGGTGAGCTAACCTTGATAGCGAGCATTCCTCGACAGATAAACCCGCACGAACTAAGAGGCAGACGATACTAAAGAAGAGTGGAAAAGTAGCAATAGGATCCAGAGTGGAAGATACTGTCAAAAGGGGACCGCTAAAGTTAACACAATGCCACGTCACTGGGCAGGACCAACCACAAGTCCTGTTTCAGTTCTCAAGCAATAAGATGGCTCTGCCATAGTTTCCTTATTCCTTCCGTTTGGATGTATGTGTGGCCCTCCTGGCCATGGATGCTTTTAAAACTGGGAAGCTCCCACTGGCTGAATCAGGGGTCACTGGCACTTCCAATGAGGGTGAGATCTGGCTTTGTTAAACAAGCACTGAGCAACCCTAATTAACAAATGTTCGAAGCTGCTCCCTGATTACCTGAAAAAGTGCTGGCATGCGGAAAACAATTTTGTGTGAGCTAAATACTGCACTTTTGAAAAAGAATATTCTCAAAACCATTCTTTGGAAGTTAGTAAACATTAATACATTTTTTAAGAAAGCTTTTTCTGAAAAATTTAAATTCCGAGGCCACATCCTCCTCTAAAGGGACGATGCAACGCATTGTTTCACTGTAACTTGGCAAAGGGCGACTGCTACGGCCCCCTCAAGCCAATGGGAGCGACGGAATTGAAGCAGGTGACAGCCCTTACCAAAGGTACAAGGACGAAAGCGTGACCCAAGCAGTTGGAGGAACTCCACTCTTATACGGACCGTTTTCGTGTGTCCCAGACGTCCCTTTAGACCCCCAAAAGATCAGCACCTCACTCAAAATTCAAAACAAGATCGGATTTCGTCTCTCCTCTGCCCTCAGCTTTGACGCCACTGCGCACAATCATTGAGATGGCGTAATCTAAAATGATCCAACCATTCAATGGTAGAACTAACGCGTTTCGTGGTTCTCCCTTTCCTAAAACGATAGACGGGTGAAACCTTCGTTCCTGAGACATCGTTATTTGAGATTCCATCGCGGCATTTCTTCATAATTAGGAGCGCTTATATACTTGATTCTTGTATTCTTTCGGTAGCATTGTGCAAAATAAGTTAAAACTATTTTTTGCTAAGGAAATGTGGATCTGCGTATATTTTTGCCATTTTAATTTCTGGTATTTTCAAACTGCGGGTGTTAGTGTTGTTCTAGAATGATGCATGCTATTTTTGTCAATGCGAGTGTTTGTGTTGTACTTTTTTTAAGACTATTTTATTTTTTGATCCAAAAGATCAAATCAGGAAGAACTCTCTCCTGTAATGATCCTAACGAGGGTCAACAGTATTTCAAAGTAGTAGTAGTAGTAGTAGGTGCATTTTAGATTACTTATATGTTATCTTATCAAGACGTACACATTTTAAACGTCAAAAGCATGGCTTCCTTCTCTGAAAACCAAATCTTGTAGGAACTACTTTGTGCGGCTATCAAGAATGGGTAAAACTTTCTTTTTTCTTGGGGTGAAAACGAGTATAGTTGTCTCGTTGCACATAGAAGCACTAGGCATGACAACAAGATGTTGATCAATGGGCAGTATGGACTGTTGTGAATGGTCATTTTAGGTAGGAAATAAAATGTAGACCAAATAGTATATCCACTAAAATAACGCTAGAATAATCATGAGCACACAAAATGTTGTTTTATTCACGTTCTAAATGTTGTAATAAAACAAAAAATTCCCAATTCAGATTTAAACTTTTGTCATTACATTATGAAAATGAATGACATCTTGTATGTAGAACGTCATCAGGCAGCAGTTTGCTTGATGACGTTCTACATACAAAGCAGTTTGAGAACACCCTCCGCAGAGCTCCAAACACTCCAGTTGAAGATGCATTCCGGGCACCCAAGTTCTACCGCGGTAGTTTGGCGGTCGTTCAGACCCACCTGGGTCGGTCCTGTCCCACTCCAGCATGAGGTCCACCGCGTACATGGCCCTGGACTGGGGACTCGGACAGAGGCCTCCGGGGGGAGGCCGACTGGAGGCCAGCTCGAAGACGCGCCTCAGCACCCGGAACACCTCTGCCTGCAGTTAGATTCGCGCGAGTTGGCCCGCGGCGGATGCCGACGTCGTTTTTGCGCAAAGCGCGACCGCATCAGCACAAACGAGCGATTGCCAGTTTCTTGCGGGGTGTTACATGACCGAATCCCAGTAGAATCCTGTAATGCCGCTTCCTGTAACGCACAACCTTGTAATGCAAGGCATCTTTTCGAAGCCCAACCTCCAGCACACGTTAGTTGCCTATTGACATGTTTTGGCTCACGGGACACTGATTGATTGATGCGTTACCAAAGGTAAGAACACATTAAATAGAATATTGCAAACAGAAAGATAGGAAGAATAGGAAACGAATACGGTTCTTCGTCTTTTTCTTCCTTCATTTCTTATAGTAAAATCCCTCGTTGCGAGTGAGTACTCAGTTTCGTGATCTAAACGAGTATCGTACCGACATGCAGTACAGTCAAACCTGACTATATCAAACCCGTTTACGTCGAATTACCCCTTATATCGAACAATTTTTGAGCACAGAAGTGTTAGAGTGATAATATCTAGCAAAAACTATGGTTACATCGAACAAAAATAGCAGCCGCCACCGATATACCAAACTGCCAAGAGCGCAATTTAGCTCTGCAAGCTGGCTTTCCCCCAACGCCAGCGGTCGCATTGGGGAAAAGCCAGCTTGCAGAGCAGGCTCGCTTTTTCTTTTTTTCTTTTTTGTTTCCAGGCGGCCGCGTCGATTGCCCGGAAGAAAAGAAAACGAAAAATCTCTTTTGCGGAGGGAGCGGGGAAAGTGTGCTCCGTACTCCCTCTCCCAGCTCCGTCCACAAAAGAGAATATTATTTCTTCCACGCAATTGACGCGGCCACCCGGAAAAAGAACAAAATGCCAGCTTGCTCTGCTAGCTGGCTTTCCCCCAACGCATCCGACTTCCTTAGGGGAAAGCCAACTTGCAGAGCAAAACGGCGCTCTGCAGAAGGTGCTCCTGCTTGGACGTGCTCCGTCCTCTCGGCATAGTTCGGCGCTAATGCGCGAATATAGAAGGCAGCGGCCTCAGCATTTTGGAGTCCGTCGATAGCGTAGAAAAATATTGTTATCACGGACGCAATGAAGAAAAAGCGGCAGAAGATGCAAGACTACTTCATTGCGTAATATTTCAGCAGAAAGTGGATTTTCGAGTCAAATTCATTAAAGCTTTTATACTGAATTACCCGCTATATCGAACTGGTAGACATTTTTTGCGAGTTCGATATAAACAGGTTTGACTAGTTTATCACTACCGCGTCATGCGCGTTAAAAAACCCTGGCCAGCGGTCGTACTGCACTGTCTAAATTTCTCATCTACAGTAAGTAACAATGTTGCCATAGTCTGGCAGACTAAACTCCTGCTGTTGAAGAACTAACAACTGATTTTATTTTTTTTTTTCTGTCCCATCTCATTCTTCTTCCCTACTTTGCATCTACGCTATTTTACCTCCATGCCCAGTGATTATCAACTAGCCCAGCTATCAACCTCATTCCAAAGGTAAGGAGCTTGCACTGAAGGCAAGACAACTGAAAAGCATCCCTGCCTTTCTCATCCTGCAAGTGGCCCAGTAAAAAAGAAACACCGCAGAAAGTGTACAAGCACTCGGTTTCGAATTGGGTCCCTCCGGTTGTGAATTCGACGCTGAACCAACTGCGCCAACATTGCGTGCGGGAAAAGCGGGGGCTGTCATCAAACCTGGTACTACGATCGAGCCCGGTTATATCACACCCGGGTATTTCGAATTATTGTTTATATCGAACAGTCCAAACATCCCATTGAAAATCTCATGTAAAAGTATAGGAGCATTGTTTTTCTGTATCAAACTCCCATGGCTGGGTAACTTGACATAGTGATCGGATAGTGTCGGCGGCAAGCACATAGCTCGGATTGCGAGACTGGCAGACCGTCACACCAGCATACGTGCACGGGGATACGCAGCAAAAGAGCAGCTGTAAGAAAGAAAAAAGCAACCATAAAAAAAGGAAAAGCGGAGGATGGCGAAAGAAAGGGGAAGAGCATGCACGCACGTAGGGAGGGCAGGGAGTGCCTCAACGGTAGCATGCGCTCTTTCCCGAACACCGCTGTCGCTGCGCGACTCCTTAACCTCCCCTCCCCCTCCCCTCCCCTCCCCTCCCTCCCTCCCCCCCCCCCCCCCCCCCCCCCCCCAAAAAAAAAAAAAAAGCAAAAGAAAAGAAAGTCTTTGTCTATACTTCGTCTCATCCTAGGATGGACTAAAGGTAAAAGCTACGGGCCACCAGACCCAATCACGAGCCACCTAGAAATTGCGTGGTATTTCGCTTTGATGCACGTGTCGGTGCCTGTGTCTAGGATCAATAATGGGTATGGGCGGGCAGTGGTTCGAATTGAATAGCACTGAGTGACTTATGAAATTTACATCGCAAGGAACGCCACGACATACACTCTTCGCAGTGTCGAAGCTATAGAAATGATGCAGCGCATTTTGATTCGGAGCATTATTCGTCCACCCCAAATTAATGTTAAGCATGTCATAGTTTAGAGTGTAACGTGATTGGGCCTGGCGGCCCGTGGTTTTGGCCTTTAGTCCATCGTAGGATGAGACAAAGTATAGTAGAGTGTGTCGACAACTGTTCAGCAATCGCACTTTGAACGCCTAACCTTTGTTTACCTTTTTCCTTCGCCGTTTTTGCTTTCCCCATTTTTTTTTTTTCTTTTTTTGCTGCAAATTTAGTGAGGTTCCTTTTTCTTGCTTAACTTTTTTTCTATGGACCGAGAGTACTTTCTTATGCAGCTTGCCTTTTCCATTTTTTAATTTTTTAAAATTATTTTCGTGTTTTGTTGTTGGCGCTTGATCGCAAACACCGTCGCGTAAACGCCGCGGTGTACGTGATCTTTACCAACTAAGCTTTACTGTATTTAGCAGCTCTTAGAGCTTATTCTTGTAAGGTCCGGTTTGTCGTGGCCTTCGGTATTAACAGAGACAAGCGGAAATTTCGACTGGAGCTTAAGGTAACATATATTTTGTACATCAAATTATCAATATATTGAATTATTTTACAATCCCCTTTGAATTCGATAAATCCAGGTTCGACTGTAGTGCGATGAAAAGGGCTCATTTGGGGCATATGGCTCACCGTGCATTCACGAGGGCGCCCATCAAACCACTCTGGCATCGTTGCCGCGAGGCGGCTATGCAGTTGCCTCGCCTCAGACGCAATCACATGGTCGTGTCGCCGTGGGGTCAATTGGGATCTCGAATTTGGCTCCCGACGTGCCACTTTCTCTCCTAGCCACTGGATGGCGCGGCAGGCGCCCCAGGGTGGGAGAGGAGAAACCTCCTCGCCCATTGATCGAGATATAGTCGGGGAGACCGGGGGGCAAAAGCCTCCGAGGACTCCGGGCGGGCTCTGGGACAAGCGAGTGCGTGCGACGGGATCTGGGGTAATCGCGGGACACGAGGCCTGGGGGCCCTCTTTGTGTTTAGCTCTGGCTTTACGTGGGTTTGTGAATCTTTGTGTAATGTTTGTAGTTTAGATTGAGTGTTTTGAGCGTTGTGTTTTATGTACCAATAAAACGGGAGCGGAATCTTGCTCCATTGAAAGAACCAGTCTGGACTTGGGTTGTTGACGGACCACAAGGGAAATAGCGAATCGGCGGCGGTACGCGATTTCCTACAGGCACTAACCTAAGCGGTAAAGTTTTAAAATAAAATGTGCGAAAGTTGCATTTCCGCTAAAAGTGTCTAGGTATGTACGCTGCACGACACAGTTAATGCAAGCATGACATCGGCATTTTCTTGTATTTTGCTCCAGAAACGTATTGTAGAGCACAAAGTTTTACCGCTGTCAAGTTCTACATGACAATGAGCACTTGCCGCCACTCGTAGCCTTTCAATTCTCAGAGGAAAACAAAATGAAACAAAAAAATGAAAGCCGTTTACAACTCCCTGTAACGCCGAATTAGAGCGCAGCTCTTGAGGAGGAGGAGGGAAGGGTACTGGGGGGTGGGTCAAGTGACCTCGGGGGGCGGGGGGTCACGTGACCTTGGGGTCACGTGACCTTGTGGGTCACGTGACCTTGTGGGAGTCACGTGACCTTGGGGCGTCACGTGACGTCGGGGGGTCACGTGACCTGGGGCCACGTGACGATACCGATGACGTCATCAGTAGCGTCACTGATGACGCCATCAGTGATGATGATGACGATGCGGATGCCGGTGACGTCATCAGTGACGTCACTAATGACGTCATCAGTGATGATGACGATGACGATGCGGATGCCGATGACGTCATCAGTGACGTCACTGACGACGTCATCAGTGCCTATGACGTCAACGGGGGGTCACGTGACCTCGGGGGGTATCCCCAGGTCACGTGACCCCAGGGGGGGTCACGACCTGGGTAACCATCGTGACCCTCGTGAGGGTAACCCTAGTAACCCTTGTGAGGGCAACTCTCGTGACCCTCGTGAGGGTAACTCTCGTGACCCTCGTAAGGGTAACTCTCATAACCCTCGTGACCCTCGTGAGGGTAACTAACCCTCGTAACCCTCGTGAGGGTTACGAGGGTGAGTAGCCCTCGTGAGGGTAACTCTCATAACCCTCGTGACCCTCGTGAGGGTAACCCTCGTGAAGGTTACCCTCACGAGGGTTACTAACCCTCGTAACCCTCAAAAGGGTTACCTTCACGAGGGTTACCCTCACGAGGGTTACTAACCCTCGTAACCCTCGTGAGGGTTACAAGGGTAAGTAACCCTCGTGAGGGTAACCCTCGTGAAGGTAACCCTTTTGAGGGTAACTAACCCTCGTAACCCTCGTGAGGGTTACGAGGGTAAGTAACCCTCGTGGCCCTCGTGATCCTCGTGAGGGTAACCCTCATGAGATTAACCCTCGTAACCCTCGTAACCCTCACGAGGGTTACGAGGGTTGCGGTTACGCCGACGCCGACGCCGACGCCGACGGCGACGCCGCTCAAGCCGGGAACGGGCCCCTAAGAGCTGCGCTCTAAAAACCAGAAATATCTGTTTTGATTCTGACTACGATGTATTATGTATGTCCTTCGAAGACTGTTTCCATCTTGCGCAGACAGTTGTGTAGGAGGCAAACACTCGAGGCACATAGATTTTTTTTCTTAAAGTCACCCTTTGAGCACCACTCTGAAACAAATGTTCTTCACCACTAGGACCACAAGCTATCCGAGCCGACACAAGCTATCCAAGCCGACACAGGGCTGGAAGTACGACTGAGGGGGAACTCTGCGTATCGCTACACCCGATCGCAAGGTTCCACGACAAACTCGCGGCGCTCGGCTTATTTTCATGCTTGCGCGAACTCTGCGTGCTATCCCTTACCTGGATGCTGGCCCAAGGATGAGAGGGATAAGTGCTGTCAAACTGCCCCGTGAACTCTGCACACGTAACCTGAAAGAGAAATTCAGTCTGAAAAAACATACCCTTTTAGCCTTCTTGTGCCCGAGCCGAGGTTGGAGCCTCAATAGAGCAATGGAGCGGAAGCAACCCAGACCACACGTAATGTGAGGGCTTTTGCTTGTGGGCTTTGTGTACCCCCCCCAACTGTGGCCACTGAGCAAGAGTACCGGACATAGCGGCGACGGGAAGCCGGTTGCCGATTAATCAGCTACCAGCCGGTTATTCAAGTGCCAGTTCACAGACTATCTGTTCAGTGTGGTGTGTAATGCGTGCAAGGGTGTTCCGAATGCCACGCATTTAGAACTCCTCCAGGAAATGCCGGAGACGGCCAAACTTTCCTCGTCGTAAGATGGACCGCTTTTCGTGGCAAACCGCGGACTCGTTTCGCCAGTTGCTTCATTAATGTCCCCTCCTTATGGGAGGTTTTGGAAGCTCCAGACATCCTCCCAAACCAAGGTTTTGCACTGCCAGAGACAAAGTCGTGTTTAGGGTTCTGCATTTTCGGGGTTCATATTTCTAAGAGTTTAGAGCAGCGCTTTAATTAAGTCCGTTTTTTTTCTTTCTAAAACTTTTGTGTTTTTGAGGTCTTCTTGCCAATAAATTGGCATTTATTGGCATGTATGTTGAAAAAGGAAAGACCAAGACGCTGGGATGCCCCAACCTCCAAAGAATATAGGCATGACCCAAATGTTTGGAAAACGTCTTGATGCCAATAAGCGAATCAGACAAAACGTGGGATTCTCAAATAATAAATAAAGGGAAGCAGGTCCGTGGACACTTTAGTGGGGGCTAGGTTCCGGGTCAACAAAAATAAATCTGTAACGGAAAAAGTGTCACTTTTATTTGAAATAAGTGACAGAGGCAAGATTTTTTTTCCCATATTTTCACAAAACGCACGCACCACCTTGCCTCCCTTTCAGTGTAAATTACAGCGTTGCAGCATGCTAAACTGCATTTTTGCAATATGCAAGGTCTTTCTGCAAATACTTTTAAAAATTCCTACAAAGAGGGTGGTTGAGAAGAAAGAAACTCTATTCGGGAACAAACTCCCAGGCACGATGGACGTCTGAGATTAAAGAAAACGCGCAAACCAGAAAAAATATCTACCTAAAATTTACTAATTACCTTTTTAATTAGTTAAAATAAATTTAGTTCCAATTAGAAACTTGCTGAGCATCATCAAAACCCCCTAAATCAATCAATTTTAGAGAGACTAAGCACGTGGGAGGTGTAGGGGAGCACTAAAGTTTCCTCTCACGCAGCAGGCAAAAGGCTGCCGATGCTGAAACGCAGCCGATTTTCTTATCATAGGTGTTTTCACGCCGCCAGCCTTACACCTGCTGCACGAGCGAAAACTTCAATGTACCCTCATGCCTCACGTATGCTTTAAATCTTCCTGGAATTTATTGGTTTGGGAGTTTTCAATGACGCTCAGCAAGTTTCGTATTAGAACCGTATGTTTTTCACAAATTAAAAAGGTAATCAATTTTAGATATAGACCAACACGCGGCCCTGACGTCACGCAGCTGCGGTGGCGCTGTGGACGGCACTGCGCATGCACAGACGCTTCAAGTCACGCAAATTCAGTTTCTGTGCACGCGCAGTGCCCCCACCTGGTCTGGGCAAATGCGGGCTTATTTGTAAACAGCGTGTCGGTCTATAATTACTTCACTAATTAGCATTTTTTGCTATCACCGACATCTGCCATAGCTGGCAGTTTGTTCTCGAAAAGAGTCTCTTCCCTTCTCAACCACCCTCTTTGTAAGGATTTTTGAGAGTAATCGTAAAAACAACCGGTATTTAAAGCGGCTTAGATGACCTGAAAGTGACCGGGAATCTTACCTGTTGGGGCCCCGACTCTGTGTAGTTCATCACGGTGAAGTGCTTCTCGTAGTCATCGAAGTCAGCGAGGGCAAACGGCCTGCAATTAATATTTGTATCTGAGGGGCTGTACTAACAGAAATTACAAACTCCTCTCTTACCCAAGAATATTACGAGGTGGAAAGTCCGGATAAAAAAGAACAGTGTTTGCCATGCAAACTGTGCCCGAGCGACTGCATGCAAGGGGAGAACTTTCTGGATATCTATACGAAACTTTGCAAACTCAATTCAGCGTTGTATTTCTTCTAAAGTGGTGGTCCTTTTTTTTTTTGACAAATAAAACTTACGACTAGGACAATATTAAAAAAGTGAATCAACATTTGTTTACAAACTTGTATGAAAATTCTAAATAAAGAGAATGCCAATGCACAGCTGATTGGGGTTTTATGACACAATACACAAAAAGCACTGCCGTGCAACTTGCGGCATTTGGCCACGCAGGGCTAGGTGCCATTCAGACCCTATGACAGGCCAATCCAGACAAAACAGTTATGACGACTGGTTAGCCAATTATTTCTACATCCTTACATCAGGATAGCATCGCAATCAGATCTGGCAAATAGTTTTCACTACAGACATCTGGCCAATTATTTATCTGCATTTTCTACCTGTTGCTCGACAGCCGAGGTAATTTTTTTTCATTACCGTATTTATGTGATTCTAAGCAACCCCCCCCCCCCCCCCCCCCCCCAAGTTATCCAGTCAGAACAGTAAAAAAAAGTTTGCACGCGAATGCAAGCACTCATTTTTTAGCGCGATTCAAACTCTGAGCGCGGCGCGCTGCTGTTTCCCAGCGGAAGGAGAGACCGCGATCGCCGAGCTGTTGGCAATGTCGATTGCTGGAAATAAGTTTCAGTGTCACTAAATAGATGGCAACACATGAATAGCACGCTAGTGCGGATGCAAGCCGCACGAGCAGGCGAGTTTGCTCGTTGTTTCTCCTTTTCTTCTCGAAGAGTCTCGGCTGCGTCAGCGTCGGGGAGCCAGCTTTGTCTCGTTAAAGCGGCTTTTGATCAGTCTTTGATCAGGCTTGTGTCAGCATGAGTGCGAAGAGAACTTCCTATATATACGTTCAAGTTCAAGAGAACAGTGATCTTGATTGCGGGGGAAAATGGAAATCGCAGCGCTGCCAAGAATTTCGGCGTGGACAGGCCCCGCATCATTCGATGAAGAAAGCAGCGGGAGCTGATTTTCAAGTGCATGTCGTCGTCAAGTTATTCAAGAAGAAGAGGGAAACAATGCCAAAAGTACGGAGGACGAAGAACGAGGAACACACAGACCGAGCACTGACCGACAACTGGTTTATTTCTGGAAAACCACATACCGGCATAAGAACACAGAAAAACATGCATCGGACCATCGCCTAAGGGCACGTGTCACAGCTCTCTAAGAACATGATTTTCTTATCGAAGAGCGCAATCGAAGGGGCACTGACACACTTATCCTTATACTTCGAAATGTAATAGGCCTCGAATATTTCACGAGTAACCTGCTGACTGTGCCGAGCAACAATCGTCGTCTTTTCCAAAAGAGGGCAGCACCCACATCTATCCCAATGAATGGCCGAATTACCCCAAGGTGACAATCGTATTGAAAGTGTGTTTTCTCTGAGCCTAACATATTGAGGTATTTAGCGCACAAGGTAGAGAAAAGAAGGACAGGACAGGCGGATTTTTTCGGTCGCTCACCAGTCAACTAGCTGTGTTTGAATTTGTGTTTATCCTTTGTCCCTCTTGTTGCCCTTCTCCAGGGATCACTTTCGCGAGTCCCCGTGGTGTTCTCTGCGCCTTCAAAACTGGGGCGTTTATGTGCCACGGTTGATAGGGGTCGTTCGGATAAACTCTGCTGCGGTAAGAAGCACAAGCAGGAGTTTGTGCCGTGCGCGGTCGGCATGGTGTACAAAATTGAGTTGCACTGTGAGAGAGTGTACTTTGGCCTACGTAGGAAATCGCGTGCCGCCGCCGATATGCCATTTCCCATGTGGTCCGTCAACAACCCGATCCCAGCCTGGTTCTTTCACGGGAGCGGGATTCCGCTCCCCGTTTATTGGTACACAAAACACAACGCTACAAAACACTCAATCTAAACTATAAATACACACGACATTACACAAATATTTACAAACGCGCGTTAAGCCAAAGCTAAACACAAAGAGGGCTCCCAGGCCTCGTGTCCCGCTATTGCCCGAAAGCAGTTGCTTGCACTTGCCTATCTTTAGCCCACCCGGAGTCCTAAGAGGCCCTTCGCCGCCTGGTCCACCGAGTATATGTTCATCGATGGGCAAGGAGGTTTCTCCTCGCCACCATGGGGCGCCTGCAGCGCCATCCAGTGGCTAGGGGAGAAAGCGGCACGTCGAGAGCCGAATTCGACATCCCGATCTACCCCGCGGCGACACGACCATGTGATCGTGTCTAAGGCGAGGCAACTGCATAGCTGCCTCGCGGCACCTATGCCGGAGTGGTTTGATGGGCGCCCTTGTGAATGCACGGTGCGCCATACTCCCCACTCCTAAAAATCGAAGTACGCCGGAATTCAGACGTACGGCTAGGCTGCTTGGGAACACCGTCGCTTTGTTTGGCCTGGAACCCCCCACACGCACACACAGCACTGGTCCCATGGGTCGTCCCTCACTAAGGTCCATTAGTTTGCCCGAGGCCTGGGGTGCGCGACCACCGCACACCTCACAGTAGACTGTGTCGACGTCGGCTTGGCGGCGGCCTCTGGGGCAACGGGGTCTTTGAGCAGTGTGCCTGGCCACCACGAGACTGGAGGCTGGAGGCACGGAGAGGGACTGTGGTTGTAACCCAGCTGCGACAGCCCTCCCGGAGCGATGCGGGCTGGAAGTCCAATGTCACCGAGAACTGCACCCCAGCGTCCTCGTGGCGTCGCGGATGTCCAACGATTGCTCCCTGAGCTGTGGTCCTGGCCGGGGAATACGCTGCCTGAAGACGAGGAGTTCAGCCCAGGCTGGTGTTTATCCAAACGGCGACTCATCCTTTCATCGTCTCCCAGGAGAGGACCATTCGGTGCATACCAAGCCGCGCCTCGAGGCAGCAGCCGCAGGGTCGGTGACTGTTTACCAGCCGAACGCCGTGCACAAAAATAAAAACATTGAAAGCCAAAAAAAGAAGGAAAAAAACACTGAGGGTTCCAAAGCAACCTTCCCCCCACCCCCAAAGGAAAAAAAACAACAAAAAAACGATGTCGGGTACACTGATTTTGGATCGTTCACCCTCTTCTTCCCTTTCCCGGGCCATGCACTCTACAAGGTTCCGATGCCATCGGGTTGCCTCTGGCTACGTGTGTTGTAGCTGTGCTGTGGTGGCCCCAGGAAATCCTGAGATCGTCGGCGCCCGCGAATGCCCCTGGCCGCTTGACCGGCTCCTCCCTTCCCTGGGGAAAAAGGGTTTCAGTTCGCCGATGTGAAATGTCCCGCGGACGAGATCAGAATTCTGGTCCCTCAGCATGTATGTCGGTCGAGACCTCTTGGAATCGATGACGAAGGGGCCAACCCACTTGGGGGCCAACGCCACCGAGAAAAACTTACTTGCATCGCTCTGAACGTGACTTCGCCTAAGAACGGAGTCACCCACCTCGAACTGCGCATCGTGGTGTGCTTTGTCATAGGTGTTCTTCTGCTTCACCCGTGCGCGAGCCCCATTTCCGCCAGCAGCATCCAGCGCCCGCGACAGTCACTCTCTTGTCCTTGTCGCGAAATCTTCGTGCAAGGGCACCGCCCTGGCCGCGCTCTGTCGCAGGCGAAGAACCGCATCGGTCGGCGTAGAGAGCTCTCTGCCGAAGTTCAGCAGCGTGGGCGTGAACCCAGTGCTGTGGTTGAGGTTGGACCGCAATGCAAACGAAATCGAAGCCAAGTGCAGATTCCAGTCCCGCTGCTTACGAGCATATGCCCCGAGCAGCGGCTTGATGTCGCGGTTCCGCCGCTCGGTCACATTTGCTTGGGGATGGAAACACAAAGTCTTACAATGCTTAATACGGAGGGCCTGGCAGGTTGCCGCAAAGACTTTCGAGCAAAATATCGAGGCATTGTCACTCACCAGTCTCTCGGGGAACCCGTAGCGACACCAGACCTCGGACAGCCTGCTCAGGACTCCCTTGGCTGTCACCTTCCGCATTGGAAACATTTCGACGAATCCGGTGAAGTGGCAGGTTACTACCAAGACATGTTGATAGCCTCCGCTTGACCGCGGCAGGGGTCCCATCAAGTCGCAGGCCGTGATCTCCCATGGCCGCATACTCACGATGGGCTCGAGGAGGCCGGGTGGTCTGCCCCCCCCTGGGCTTGCGCTCTTGGCACACTGCGCAGCTCCGAACATACCGGCACAGCTGCCCCTTCATGCCCGGCCAGGTAGCGAAACAGCGCAGCTTATGCCACAACTTCGGCGCACTGCCGTGGCCGTCCACATCGTGGTAGTGACGCAGCGCTCCCACTCTGAGATTGCGGGGAATCACGGTCTTCAACGACTCACTTGAATCACTCTCTTCCGGGAAGTAGCGCAGTAGGATGCCGTCCCCATCGATCAGGTAAGACTCCAGCTCACCTCCTTCAATGTCCGACTCCTGGGCGGTGGCACTTGGCTCTCTCGGCGTTCCGGAATGCCGGAGCGTCTTTTTGCCTGCCTGGTCAGGATCCATTTCTTGCCTGAGCCGGTCGAAGATAGCGCAACAAAACGAGTCGCTCTGCTGTGCTTCGAACAGTTCCGTTCGGTTGAACGCCGGTCCCAGTGAGGTAATCGCCTCGGCCAGCTGCGCGACGCCGCCAGCGGGGAGCGGAGCGCGAGGTGGGATTTCCCGCCTCCCGGTGGATGGCTCCGCCTCTGTAGTCTGCTGCCTTGCGCGGTGGGGGTTCCATAGGTGCGCGAGAGGGTGCGTCGGCCACCACATTTGTCGTGCCCTTCCGGTACCGAATTCGGTACTCTTACTTCTGCAGTGTCAAGGCCCAGCGCGCCAGTCTTCCGGCGGGTTCCTTGATTCGAGAAAGCCACGCGAGGGCCATATGGTCCGTCTCAATCGTGAATTTCGTCCCCTCGACATAATGATCAAACTTCTTAAGAGCAAAAATGATGGCGAGGCATTCGCGCTCACTCACCGTGTAGGACTTCTGTTGGAGATGCCCGAGGACCTCGTCCCCAATTAGCGACGCACTAGACCCACTTGAGCCCACCCAAAGTCGTAAGAGGCCCTTTGCCTACTGGTCCACCGAGTATATCTCGATCGATGGGCGAGGAGGTTTCTCCTTGCCCGCCATGGGGCGCCTGCAGCGCCATCCAGTGGCTAGGAGAGAAAGCGGCATGTTGGGAGCCGAATTCGAGATTCCGACCGACCCCGCGGCGACATGACCATGTGATCCAGTCTGAGGCAAGGCAACTGCATAGCTGCCCGGCGGCAGCTATGCCAGAGTGGTTTGATGGGCGCCCTCGTGAATGCACGGTGCACCATAGCAATCAGGGAGGTGTATCAATGATAGGCTCAGAGAACACACACTTTCAATACGATTGTCACCTTCGGGTAATTCGGCCATTCATTGTCATAGATGTGGATGCTCCCCTCTTTTGGAAAAGACAACGATTGTTGCTCGGCACAGTCAGCAGGTGACTCATGAAATATTCGAGGCCTATTACATTTCAAGGTATAAGGATAAGTGTGTCAGTGCCCCCTCGATTGCGCTCTCTGATAAGAAAATCATGTTCCTAAGAACATGATTTTCTTATCATGTTCTTAGCTGTGAAATGTGCCCTTAGGCGATGGTCCGATGCATGTTTTTCTGCGTTTTTATGCTGGTATCTGGTTTCCAAAAATAAACTACCTGTCGGTCAGCGCTCGGTTTGTGTGTTCCTTGTTCTTTGTCCTCCATACTTTTGGAGCTGTTTCCCACTTCATAAGTATGCATAACCAACTCGCCCAATTTTCTACGGTTCTTCAAGAAGTGTTGTACAATGAATAGTCTTGACAGATCTGAGGCCGACTTCTTGTGGGTCACGGAAAGACCGAAGCAGCAGCAGCTCGGGTGGATGCACCGAGGACTCGTCGTAGAGTGAGATTGAGCGACGCGCGCTGCTTGGTGTGCTGTGACCTCTGCCGGCAAGTAGACCGACAATCTCCCGTATTTGTTGTATCGTCCGTGTTCTATTTTACCTTTTATTTTACTTAAAATAAAGTAATATATATTTGCTGAAATTTTGTAACATTAATTTTTTACGAATCTAAGCACCCCCCCCTCTCGTAAAACATTGTAGATTTGAAAAAAAAAAGGGGTGCTTAGAATCAAGTAGATATGAATTGTGTCGTTTTAACCTGGAGTCTTGGGGTTTTATGTCATGCTTAATATTTGCCAGCTTGTTTGCACCCTTACATTCAGTTCATATTTAGTATTGGTGTGCGAATATTGAGATTTTCTAAAGCTAATCGAATATGAATATTAGAAAAAAATATCTTTGAATATATAATATATTTTGAATATGTGTGTCCATTAAGAAATAACTAAAGAAATTATGGAAATACTTTATTACCTTCAAAACTCAAAATAATGTTAACAAATTGAGGCAAATGAAACTACCTAACTAGGCAGCATATAAACAGTGCAACTGGTAACACAGCTGTTACAGTTGCCAACCAATTATTCGGACTTCGCAGGGACTGAAAAAATGTCCGAACTATAGAACAGTCCGAAAAATCAGCAGATTGAAAAGCTTGCCTTTATTACTTCCAAGTGGGCTTAAAAAAGCCGTAAATAGTGCCTTGTTTCAATTATGCCTCTGTTTCCGTTCGGCAACTTCTGTTAGCTTGAGAATTGCTGCCTTCTTTTCTAGCGTTATGGTCGAGTACTTTCTGCACTTCTTAATGACACATTGCGGTGTTAGAACAACAGAATGGGGCCATGACGTCCAAGCCAGCGCTGTCCGAATGAGATAAGAAGTCCAAATCCACGAGCGCAAAATGGCGACTGGCGACGTGAAGGAACTAAAAAACACAGCAAAATGATAATGATGATGATGATGACGACGTGCAGCTAAATGGAAAAAAAGGATTAGCATAGCGTCACCTAGCGTTAGGACTCAGGAGTACTCAAGTAGTGCTGCCAAACCAAATCAATCCATTTGCAGCCAACTTTCAAGCTGTCTGAAACATTGGTCGTGAATATGCACTATTTCTATGGGGTAAGTCACGGTTCCGCCTTTAGGTCCAAAATACCGAACTAGTCCGAATTATTGGAGTCCGAAAAAACCATCGGCAACTGTATACCTAAACTAGTAATCATCCATCTACTGTACATGAAGCAGGCAAAAAGTGCAACTGATAAGTACAAATTCACAAAATTAAGGTGTACATCCTGTCTAGATAGCATGTAAAAATGCAACCTGTAATGTTGTCGCACAAACAACTGGTACTGACCTTTTGCAGAGAATAATTGAAATTGCCCTTGACTAGCCAGTTAGATTTCAGGTGCTCATGCAATTATTGCAAATTATCACTCAAGAAAATTAGCTGCACCCCATGTTCAGTACGTAAGTGCTCCCTTTTCGCAGTGACAACTGCTCCTGCAGCAGAAAATATAAGGTCGCTAGAAAAGTGACTTACAATGTAGGCTTGACAAAACGAAAACCAAAACTGTTCCTCTGTTGCAAGCTAAAACTTATAGTTCTATGTATAAGGTAACTGGCGAGGGTTTATAAAAAAAATGGCTACAAGACACGAAATTTTAGGTGACCAAACGCAACTTTTAAGGAAGCTCTGAATGTTCAGGGCATGTGCCGCGCGAGGATTATTCGCTATTTCCTCGAATGTTTGGCCATAACCGAATATTGGGAATTTCGGAATATGCAATTCTCGAATGGAATACGAATCGAATAAGAAAATATTCGATTCATATTTGAAATCTCGAATATTCGCACATCCCTAGTATTTAGTGATTCCTGCTCAACTATACTGAGGAAGACCGTCCCACTCGTACGCCATTAACGTAAAAATTAAGAATTTAAAACAATCAATATGATATTTAAATGAGACTATGGAGAACCTTTGACTCGTGGAATAGCCCCGAGGAAATTATCTGTACAATTATTAAGATTAGTTCGATAGTAGCGGCCACGAATGATCCGATGCAAGAATTTTCGTCTGCCCAGCAGCCCAGCGGGTGTCCGGAAGGATTGCTCGTCTACTCACTTGTTTGCAAAGCGCAGCCAGAAGTTGCGGTAGGCGAAGAGCCTGAGGGGCTGCACACTCAACAGAAGGACCACGTAGCGGAAGTCAAACTTGACGAGGCCCACTCCACCCCTCGGGAAGAGCACCGGGTCCGTGATGTACTTGCAGGCCACCTGGGGCGGTCGGGCCAAGGTGCGTCAGACACCCACCTCCTGTCGGCCTTTCGAGAACTAATGCGAGCAAGTTACGGGCATTTTCAAAAGTGATAACGTCGCTAGAAAGAAACTAAAGTCTGTTACAGGTTAAGAAGAGCTTGCAATACGAACTGCGAGATGATTTCTACGCGTCTCTGCCTTTCCGCCTGTTCTCCTCCTCGCCGCGTGAAAACGCCGCACATGCGTACTACGACCAATCTCCGCAGAAGGCGTCCGCCATTACAATGCAAACGCTCCTCGTGACCTCAGATGAATCCTCTCTACAATTCAGGCTCTCTAGGCCGTGCCGGCAATCGCGGCGAGCTTGGAACGACTGCGCCGAAAAAGTTGCTCGTCATGCTCAACCGCTCGGCGTGCTTGAATGTTGCGACATATTTTTCCAGGCTCTTCGCAATGAATTATTTCGACTTTGTCCAAGAACGGCAAAATACTGTCGTTGCTTGCTCTCCTTTTCTTGAGACAACAGGATTCGAAAAGCAGAACCAAAAACAGAAGAGCAAAGCCCAGGTCAACCAACAGCGAAAAAACAAAGCAGACGACGTGCGAGTGCTGGTCCGCGGAGATGACGGAGGTTTACTTGGCGGTGCTTGGCAAGTAGGAAAACGCGCATTTTAGTGGTCACGTGATTACAAAGCAAACAAACAAATTCTATCGCACACTACGAGTGCCCAAATGTGAAAAGGAAGCGTGCATCGGCTGCATGCGGACGCCGTGAAGAAACATTCACGATGGCGTGCCACAACCTTGCCTTTGAAGCACCAGGTCACTCTTTTTTGTATGTAGCTTGTACTTTGTGAGACTTTTTGTTTCTCTTTTTTTTTTTTTTTTTCAGATAGAACAAGGTGCTTGCATGTTTCCGAGGGCCATATTTGGTTTTAGAGTCAAATATACCCAAACCATTGTTTGTTATAGAAGTACATTTTACATGATTTTCGTTTTAAGTATTTGGGCGTTTGATATAGACAGTAATTCGCTGTATTCGGGTTCATTATAAATAGGCACGACTGTAGTAATTTCGAATACTACGCTAATCAAAATTTTCTTTGAGGAGAACTGCATTATTTGTACTTTTCAAAGTGTTGATCACGGTAGGTTAGCCCCATTGAGTGCGCTTCTTTTTAAGCACCGATGCACTGCGAAAAAGCAACACACGCGGAGCTTGCTTTCGTGGGGTATTGCTTTTTCGCAGTGCATCGGTGCTTGGTAAAGGCCCTGTCACACTGAGTTGGACAAACAGTTGGACAACTCTATCCGGCAACACGAGGAAATCGTGTGGCCGGCAACCATGTCACATCACGGAAACAACAATAGTCGGGCAACATGTTGCTGCCACCCAGCAACTGTGTGGGCCGATTTGTTGTCCGACCACCCTGTCACACCATGCTGATGGCGGGGACAACACGGGGAACATACCACCATCTTGATTGCTTATCTTGGTTCGTGCGCAGTGCGGTGTCGCAGAAAACGTGACTTTATAAGGTGCCAGTCTGTTCGAAGGGCCGAAATCACCACAGGACGACATCAACAAGTGACTGTGATTAGGAAACTTGACACGGGAAGTATTTTCCACCCTTTATTTTGTCAAAATGTTCTTCATTCACTGACACAGCGGATAGCCCTAACCGAGGAAAGTGAGATCGCCGATGCATGTTCGGGATTTACACCACCCGGTATGAACTGTTTCTGTCCGGTCCTTTCTTTCATGCAATTCCTATTTCTACTGTAAGTTGAGTTAGCACCGGCGTCTTTTGTAGCATAGTGTTGAGCTGAACTGGGGAGTTTTCCCCAGTTCAGCTCATGGGGAGTTTTGAAATAAATCAGTTGTCTGGTAGTGGCAGTTTCCAAGTTCCAGGCATCAACAATCATGATCAGAATGGTTATTTTAATGCTTGAATTTTTTGTGGCATTAGCTACACTGGCCGAGGTTGAGCAGTTTCGCGTGGCTCTCATAATGAGCCGTGCTCATTATGCGAGCCATACTCATTATGAGCACGGCTCATTATGAAAGCCCACGCGGGGCCGCCACCGCGCGCTCCACCGCTGCCACGCTTGCCTCGCCGGTCTGCGCATTCCAGAGGAGTGACATCATAGCCGCGGCAGATGCACTGGCGCCGCCGTGTGCCCAGCTGTGTGCCTCCGCGCACAAAAGCCAAGTGTGACGCTGCACCGGAGCCGCTTGATAGCGCCTCTCCTTTTGTGCGCAGAAGCTCATGCTACGTATATCCTGGCATAGCCGAGCTAAGCCACCGCAATTTTTAATCTTTGCTTTCCTAGATTATTTTTATACTTCATCAGCAGGTTAGTAGGCATGCTATTTTATTTCACGGGCAGTAATGTAAGCTGGTCTCTCGGCAGTTCTAATTTCAACACCAGTCTGAACGTTCATGAGCATAGCTGTGACCATTTCGACAATCGCTTTCCGTAATTATGCAGTAAAAACATACATCAAGTTATTTTAGCTGCATGTCAGCCTTAATTATTGTTAAATAATGTTTTCCAAGCCTTTCATTGAGCAAGAGGTTATTAATAGGGAACTAGCTCTGCCATCGAAGCTACGTGTGCTGTCATGTTGCCGCCCGAAATTCGCTCAACCAGCAATCAGGGCAACACACGTTGTCCAACACATGTTGTCCAACACAAGTTGCTGTTTTTGTTGCTGAAAGCTGTCATACCGAGGCAACATCTTCATTGTCGTTCATGTTGTGCTGCTGTTGCTGTGATGTGACAGGTTTTTCAGACAACGGGGGGTGAGCAACAAGTTGCCCGACTGTTGGACAACATGTTGTGCTGCTGTTGCCGTCGTGTTGCCTCAGTGTGACAGGGCCTTAAGAAGCGCACGTTGCAACCAAAACTTTGAAAAGTACAAATATTTCAGCTGCATGCTACATTTTCAAAGCAGGCTGGTGCACACACGCACCTGGTGTATTTGAAAAAAAACAAAAAAACAACAACAATGAAACTGTGGACGTTTATATCTATACTGCGGTAAAGTTTTCAAAATTAGACTGGTTATTATGGTGAGTATACGTTCAGCAGAAATGATTGGACAATCTGCAATATGAATCCTTCATGACTGAAGAAAAGATATTTGCATATAGCAAAAATATATTTATATATCACCTCGATCAGCTACAGCTAGGCATCTCTATAGGTTTAATTTATGTCAAATGTGTCGGTTATTTGCCATCCTAATGTAGGCAATGGACCTTCCGAAGCCACAGTTGACAAATATACAGTGCAATCCACTTATAGCGATACCACATATAACAACCTAGAAACTGACCGCTTATAACGGTCAGTTTTTAGAGAGAGGACCGTGCATTTTTGCATGGGGTATCAGTCCAGATACAATAATAATCAGTTATAACGATTTCATTTTCAGGTCTTCTCATTATTGTTATAAGTGGATTGCACTGTAGTTAAATTAAAATTAGCTTAAAAATGAACAACCTTTACGAGTTCAGCTGGTATTCTGTTTAAGCATGGTGCAGTAGTGATAGGCTTAAAAAAACAATTCAACATTCAATTCGAAATTGTTCAGTCAAAATCATGATTCGTTCGAGCTCAGAATTAACCATTTTTGGTTTTGGACAAAGAGTCGGCATGTCTTTGGGGTTTATGCCAAAGAAAACTGGGCATGAACAGATCTTCCGACCTCCAGACAACAAGGCGCGACCCTAACACTTGGAAAACGTCCCAGCACCGATAGGAAAAGGAAACGTGATAAGCTCAGAGACGAGCACCCAGCGCAGCTCAACAACGCGCTGCACATTCACTGTCTCTCTACTTTATCCCTAGGAATAAAAAGCACTTATATACAGTCTAAGCTCATTATAACAAACCTTGATTTTGACCAAGATTTTGGTCTGTTGTAAAAAGAGTATGCTGTACGCAGACATGAAGTTAAGTCAATGGCACATAGAGAAAAAACAACCCAACTTCACAAATCGGTATGCTATATCCAAATGTGTGTTGTAACCAGGTCTGTTATAATGAACTTAGACTGTAATCCTTTAGCCCTAAACGCATTCCGTGTAAAAAAATCTGCAGCTTTACGCCATAGCGTGCAAAAAGGCGACGGCGACAGACGTCATTGCACATAGTAACAGCCACTCGTCATCTAGTACGCCATCACACACAACACGGTCTTGTGGTCACTGAAGTGTGTAGGCAGTGCTGTGTGTCCACACAGTGCACACGTGTGTGCGCACACCAGTCCTTGCCCCAGACTAGATCAAGACTTGAACCCTCACGAGTGGTGGGTTCCGTTACGTCTGATAGCAGACGCAAACAGAATTCCACGGCGAGGTGTGTGCATCGTACTTTGACTGAAAACTTGATTAATCTAGACATGGGCACTTCACCGGTCGAATTGGTAAAAACCAAGATGGTGACCAACAAAGAGCTTTAAAAGCAGGGTGAACGAAATCGGAGAAAGCTCATGTATTTTGACACAACATCCCCATCTTCGCTACTGGCGGTCGCGCAGCTGCTGCAATGGGGTGAATAGGTGAATACCGTATTTACTCGCAGAATGAACACACTTTTTTTTCCGAAAAATCGATGAAAAGTTAGGGGGCGTTCATTACGCGAAGTAAAATTTTTGCATCGGTATTTACCTTTTTTTCTGAAAAATCGAAGTAACTTCTTATCTCTTTGCGCGGGGCGCCCAGACCATCTCTTTGCATCTCTTTGCGCGGGGCGCCCAGACCCCCTCTTGCCGCCTTTCGCAAGCTGTTTTGTTTGCTTAGGCGTTGCTTAGGCGAGGGCTCTCCGCTTATCTTTCTTATCTCCTTGCGCGCGAACCCCACCCCCCCCCCCCAAACCAAACTGCGCTGTGCAAAAAAAAAGAAAAAAAGCTCCTCCTTTTCTTTTGTTTCTCAGTTCCTCGGGTTTTGTTTTTTTTTGCCGCTTTTGGCAAGCTGTTTTGTTTGCTTAGAGAGCTTCTCCGCTCCTCTTTCTTCCCTCCTCGCGCGCAGCGCGCGACCCCCCGTAACCAAACTGCGCTGTGCAAAAAAAAAAAAAAAAAAAAAAAGCTTTTTTTTGCTTTTGTTTTTTCTTAGTTCCGTTGTTTTTTTTTTCTTTTTGCCGCCTTTAGCAAGCTGTTTGGTTCGCTTAGAGCGCTTCTCCGCTTCTCTTTCTTACCTCATTGCGCGCGGCGGCGCGCGAACCCAAAATCCAAACTGCGCTGTGCAAAAAAAAAAAAAAAAAGCTCCTCTCCATGTTTTTTTTCTCTTGCTTCGCTTGGATCTTTGCGAATTTTTTTAACGCCTTTTGCAAAGCGTTTTGTTCGCCCACGCTGCCCATGCATTCGCGACCTCGCTGCACCAGGATAAAAAAAGTGCGTTCATTTCACGCGCGTGGGGGGGGGGGGGGGGGGGGGGGGTCAAAATTTTGACATCCGAGTTGAGTTGGGGGTGCGTTTATTACGCGAGTGAAAAAAAAAGTCGAAATTTTGAGATCCGACTTTGGGGGGGGGGGGGGGGGGGTGCGTTTATTACGCGAGTGCGTTCATTGTGCGAGTAAATACGGTATTTTTGCTAACACTTCACAGTGCACAAACACGACACACGACACACTATGAAAAATACATACACACAAACACATTCACTCACGCAGCGTTGACTGTCAGCTCTGGTATATATTAAGGGGGGGACACTACCCAAGGAAGAATGTTTGAACCACTAGTCTGATTTAAATGACACCTACAGGGCTTATTTCTGTTCATGTTGAGAACATCTGTGCCAAATTTTTGTTAACCTGGGTGAAGTACAAAAAAACTGCAAATGTTCAAAGATGAAAGTGCCTATCGTTTTGAAATTGCTTATAAATTTGTGGTTTTCATGTGTTATATTGCTTTACGACAGTTCAAAGCAGATAGCTATTTTCATGACAAAAAAGATATATAAACTCAAATACTGTTTTCTAAATTACTATCCTTTGTCCAAAACTTTAATTCTTGAGCATGAAAAAGTGACAGAAATAGAAAATACAAGCTCATAGCTATCTTTCCCTTAAAATTTCACCCTAGAAAAACTCATAAATATGAATCTAAGTTACGTAATAGAAAAAACAATGGTTTTCCTAAAATGAACTTTATGGCGAAAAGTGGAATGGAGAAATATGCAATCACAGAGCTCCAACCTCTACCTTTTCTTTAGCATCGGTGGACCGAAAATAATTTTTGATAAGAAATTAACTATGCAGTGTAAACTAACGAAACTTTCTGAGAATCCTCTGTAGATGTTGCTTAAGACATTTTTCAAACTAAACTTTTTTTTGCAGAAATTGCTTTTCTTTGTGTGTATGTATTTTTCCTAGTTTGTTGTGTTTGTGCACTGTGAAGTGTTAGCATTATTCACCAACTCGCCCGAGCTGAGGTACTGACCAAGAATATTTTTGGGTGATGGCGGCGCTTTGAAGGGGACGGGCACTTAACGTATATTTTCCGAAATTCCCAAGTTCGTAACAACGTTAATATAGGTCAACTGTGCGAAATGGGTGCTTCTGCAGTATTTTATTGTAGCCGGGATCCCACACGGATGAAGCATACTCTAATTTGGAACGAACTAGGCGCTTGTACATGATTAATTTCAGCGATGAAGGGGCTTGAAAAAAAATTTGTTTTAAGTAGCCCAGGATATTGCCCACCGTACCACCAGGTGGGGTCTCAGAGGCCCCTCGCAAAAAGTGCTTGTTCTTTGGCCAACGACGCGACAGACATACCTTAGGTCCGGTGGAGGGTAACCTCAGGATGTAGTGGAGGTTGTCGGTGACGTGGGTGTCCAGGCTCCGGGCCAGGTTCCACGGCTTGCAGATCCAGTGGTTGTCCAGGCCCCTGGGAGGGTGGACACACCCCGACAGAGCAGACATCTTTGCTCACAATGCCAGCAACCACCTTGTTCTATAAAGTCTTATCAAGTTTTAGCACAAAAAAAGATAAAAAGTGTGACGTGACGCCAAGAAAAAATGTATAACACCATGAAAAGCTGTCATGCTAGAAAAAAAAAACTAACATAATAATAAACTGTTTCATGCCTACCGAACGGAGCGGAATTACGTCCCATTAATTTTCACGAAAGGTGTTCGCACGTCGTTGTGAGCATGACGGTTGTCATGTGGCACCATGATGTCACGTGACGTGGCGGTAGGTGACGCAGTATGGTAATTCGAGTGATGTGATCACATGACACCATGGCTTAACACCGCTACATTGTGCGAAATTATTAGAAACGTATGTAAATTCCTCGAATAAAATGGCTATTCGATTCTCCTTTTAGACTCCCATAAAATCCCAAGCAAGCGCACACTCAGAATTTGGAGACAATCATGTAAAACTGAGGGATGGACACTCCTTAGGTCAACAATATGTAAAGATATGTCCTTCGTGCATTTTCCAGACGTTAGAAAAACAAGGGATGGACGCTTCACAAGGAATGAGCGAATGCTCAGTATTTTCTTGTAGATCCCAAGAATCCCCATTTGCATGTGAACGACATAGCGCACCCACTTCACATGGTTTCCCCCCCTAAAAATGCAACATAATTAAAACTCTCGTCACAATAAGAAAAATCCAGGTGGAACATTCTTTACAGTTACGAACGTTCCAGAAACACTGTCGCGGCAACGTTCTGTTCCGAGACAATTTCTGCGTGTTTCTCCAACTTCTTTTGTTAATCAAATACCACGACCCGCATACAACGCTCGTATAACAACTTCGGCACAGCGCCCATTGATCCTTTAAATATTTTTAACAATTAAGTTGTTTTCGACGAGTCTCTCAACCCTACACGTTGCGCATCATTATTAGGGCTCCATGTTCACGGCTTTCTTTCTCTCGGTATTCCGGAATGTCTTTTCGGGGTTAATTTTAATGCGACAGCATTTAGGGGCTCATGTCGCAGAAAAGCCAATGTCGGTGGCGTTGCGACGGGAAACTCCTGGTTGGTCGATAGGGTCATGACGCCCACAGCCACATGACTTCGCGCAGGAATTTCAAACAACCCACAACGCTCCCATGAAACGTGACATCAAACGGGGAATGAAAGTGATTAAAAAAAAAACCGACAAGTAATGCGAATTAAAGGTCGCCGCATGTAATTTTTTTCTTTCTCGGCATTTTGGGGCTATGGGGGAGAGGGGGTGGATCGGCTTCACCTTCACCTTGAGGTGGAAAGAGCGAATTACCATTCTGTGACGTCATGGACTTCATACGCAAAACTTAAAATAAATCTCTCGCCGTCAATATTGCGCTAAAAAATTATTTTTTTCCGCGTAAAATTTATGTCTTGACGCGCGTGTCCCAATTAGAGTGTTTAAAAAAGACTTTTCTTTACAGGGGCCCTTTAAACAAAAATTTGAACAATTTTAGGCGGGATTCGAACCCGCGACCCTTTGGTTGCAAGCAAGACGTGCTACTCACTAGGCCACGCAAGGCATGCTGCACGGCTTGGGAACAAGCAAAAGTTCATATGCTTATGTTTTGCAATCATATTCCACTCTTAAAGGCGAAGCTTAAGCGTCCTCCTGTAAATTTTTTCTTACTGACTCGGTGTTTTCTGGCGTCAACTTTTGCCGTCAGAAAAAGAACCCGCGTTCATTGTGGCTTATGTTGAAGAAAACCAGACAAGGCCATGGCACCACGTGCGACCCAAATGCTCGGGAAACAGTTTGGTGTCGACGAGAGAAGTTAACAAGACAAGGCATCTGGTCTTCAAAGAAACAAGAAGACTCACGGACAGTTCAGTCGAGGCTTCATCCCGAATCAACAGAAAATAAAGCTGCAGATCAAGAGTTCCATGAATCTTGCATTTTTCTCATTCAATGTTGGCTCTAATTTGGGTGTCTCCCCCAACCCCCCAACCCCTTGAGCCCATAAATATCTGCTCAAGGATCACTTTTCAGGGTTTATTGGTAAGCAAACCAAGAAAAGTGTAATTATTTACCATGTAAAGGTGTTTCACAGACTTGCCTTGCCCTGCAGAGAGGCAGTCCGCTCTCATTTTTATTTATCTATTTATTAAAAAAAAACTGCCCGCCAGTCTCTTTCAGTGATTACAGCAGACATTGCAAGCACAAAGAGCTCCATACTAAATGAAGTAAAGGAGAAACAACTTCAAAGACATTTCATGTCTTTCTTGATTACAAAAGAAAACACGGTACTTATGAATCATTCACAAAGAGCAACTCAATTGCTTCAATATAAGATTCAACACCGGTGCATTTGAAACACTGAGGGTTAAGGCGATACCCACATTTTATAGCAGCAGGAAAAAAAGTGACTAAAACAATTATTATTAAACGAGTACTTGACAAGTGTGCAGTTTTGATTGTTGGGCAAGTTGGGGCTGAATTGGGGAATACATTGTGGCGCTCAAAGACAAGGGCAAGAGGAGAACTGGACAAAACACAGTGGTGACCAGTTCTCCTTTGGTCCTTATGTTAGAGTGCTACCATGTATTCTTGACAAGTCTATTGCTGTGCTCATGTCTAGTTGCTCCAGCTTCTGATGTATTAATACACGAGTTGTTGCTCCTTTTAAGGGCGTTGTTTAAAAGAAAACACATGAATTTAAGGCACCTTAATTTTGTACGGTCAGCAAAGGTCAATAATCAGGTCTTTTTAAGCAACTTAGCGGGGGAATCGAAGCATACGTCTTTACGGTAAACAAATCTAACTGCTTGCTCTGAACACTTTCAATAACGTTTATGTTTCTTTGAGTGCGAGGGAACTAGGCTCTTGTGGTTCAGAACACCGTGTATCAATTTCCACAAATAAAACTGACATTATCGTCGTAACTATTATCCTCAATTATTGTCATTCTTTAGCCCCCAGAAAAGAAAGGCTCACCTGTCCTGCCTCTGCTGGAAGTAGGAGACAAACTGGGGCAGCTCGGTCTTCAGGTTGTACGTGGTGGGGAGCCAGGCAGGGAGGGTGGCCAGGGTGGCCGGGTCTACCGTGGGGCCACCCTGGGCGTCCCGGCGGCACACCAGCGCCAGCAGGTCCTTCACCGTGAGCACGTGCTCAAAAGGGAACTGGTTCACTCGCTTCCAGCCCCCTTCTCTGCTCAGCTCTCTGGTACAAGAAGCGGGGAATAAACGTGTTAGCCGTATGGAAACAATGTTTTGGGATTCGGATAGTTCGATGTCTTTCACGCTTTGACAAAACTTTGTTGCAAAGGATTATGAAAAAAAAAAACACTGCAAGACTCACTTTGAGTGAAAAGCACCTCCATACTGAAAATAAGTTAATGTAAATATTGCACTCAAAATATTTTTCTTTTGGAGGAAAAGAGGGGAGAGCCGCTCCCTGTATGTCACTTTGTGACATACAAGGAGCGGCCATAATAACCAGCAGATTCGGCATAGAAAAAATCGTAAGGGTGCAGGCAAGCTGGTGAATATTAACCATGTTGAATTAACCTGAGACTGGGGGAGGGAAGAAACGTCAAAACGTAGAAGGGACAGAAAATAGACAGGACGAAGTCTCAAACTCAGCTCGTCCTGTCTATTTTCTGTCCCTTCTACGTTTTGATGTTTCTTCTCTACCCCAGTCTCAGGTTAATTCAACATGGTTAACATTTGGCATGCCTTGCAAGATTAAAATTCTAAATGATCATTCTTGAATTGGACACGCAAACATTGTTTCACAAAAAGTGATTTCTACTAAGGCGAAAGCCTTAAGTGTCTCACCGTTCAGTTGACCTTCAAAGTCCTTGAGCGAAAACACGTCGGTGTCACGAAAGGTACCAAAACGTTTACGTGACCGCTCAGGCGGCAACTCAATCGTATGCTCAATGAAGACGCCGTCCTTGGTGTTGTACTAGACGTTGTCCTCTAGCTGTCGTCCTTGAGGTTACCCTAGAGATCGCCCTAGCGAACGTCCTAGACATTGTCCTTTAGACATCGTTCTCGACGTCATCCTCTAGACATTGTTCTCGACGCCGTCCTTAAGTTCGTCCTAGAAGTCATCCTAGAAGTTGTCCTAGACGTTGTCTTTGAAATCGTCCTGGATGTCGTCCTAGAGGCTGTCTGAGAGGCCGTCCTTGGCGTCGATCTCCAGGACGTCATCCTATAGGTCATCCTAAACTTTAATACGTATAGAAACATTACACGGAAGTATTTTGCTCGCGGGACTATGATGTTTCACCTTCCTACATGTAACCAGTCTTAAGTAGGGGTGTGCGAATACCAAATAGTAAGTCTCAATTCAAATATCAAATCGAATAAAAAAAAAAGGAAAGCCGAATACAGTCGCCAACCGTTTTTTCGGACTCCGATTCTTCCGACTTGTTCGATATTTCAAACCTAAAGGCGGAACCGTGACTTACCCCATAGAAATAGTCTATATTCACAGTCAATGTTTCGGACAGCTTGAAGTCCAAAAGTTTGATTATTTGGACAAAATCATTGTGAGCGATCAGCGGAAAACACCATCGAGCCGCGGCCATTTTGAATTCTATGTTGGCTGCAAATGGATTGGCTTGGTTTGGCAGCGCTACTTGAGTATTCCCGAGTCCCACCGCCGTTGCTATGCTAGCCCTTTTTTTTCCAGTTAGCTGCACGTCATCGTCATCATCCTTATTATCTTTTTGCTTTGTTTTTCCATTCCTTTGCGTTGCCAGTCGCCATTTTGCGCTCGTGGATATGCGCCTCTTATCTCGTTCGGACAATGCTGGCTTGGACGTCAAGGCCCCATTTGTTGTTCTGCCGCCGCGATGTGTCGTTCAGAAGCGCAGAAAGTACTCTACCATAACGCTAGAAAAGAAGGCAGCGATTCTCAAGCTAACAGAAGTTGCCGAACGGAAACAGAGGCGTAACCTGAACAAGGCGCTATTTACAGCTTTTTTAAGCCCACTTGGAAGTAATAAAGGCAAGTTTTTCAATCTGCTGATTTTTCGGACTACTCTATTATTCGGACATTATTCGGTCCCTGCGAAGTTCGAATAATCGGTCGGCGACTGTATCGAATTAAATATTGAATAACAAATTTATTTAACAGGAGCTCAAATATTTGCGAATTCTCACGCAAGAAAAGCAGCTGCTGCACGTGAACAGGGGTCAATTTCTCTCTCCGGGCCACAACAATGTTGCAAGCCGTCGAAAACAACTTTTCGCTTCGTACACTCGTTGCTGGAATGCCCATGTACTTCATGGCCATCTTGCACAGTCCTGGGAAGTGTTGCTTGCCTGTTTCTTTCCAGAACGTTAAAGAGTCTTGGTCCTTACCGCAAGCGGGCTCTCGAAGGTTCCGCTGAAACTGTTTGATGTTGGCTGTTTGGGAGCACTGTCTTCTTTCTGAATGACGCTGCCAGCTTCTCAACGCTGTCCCCGATACAGCTGACGCGCTCCTCGTGAGCTGTAGACATTGTCGCTCCAGTACTGTCACTTGATGCTCCTCCTGGAGAGCTCTGCAACTCAGCTCTTGCAAGCTCCAAGAGCCCCTGGAACGTTTGAGCACAAAAGAAGTACTTAAACCTTGGGTCACAGGCGGTTGCCAACACAAACTCCTTTTGCTTGTTCTGCCCAGGAAACCTTGTCTTCATGCTCTTCATCAATTTTATTGCAAAACCCTGAGGTGTCATCATCTGCTGCAATGCAGTCTATCAGGACCAATTGTGTTCCACAGAGAAATGGTACTACAGACAACAAAGTTGCCTACTTCTTTCTGGCCACTAAGGTCTGTGGTCGCCAACGCGATTGGTTCAAGGGCTTTGACGAGCCCAGCCACCGCTTTTCACTCCTTGTGGTATCAGGTCGGACACAGTTGCCTCAGAGGTGGCAAGCCCTAAACAGCAGATTCTTTCAGCTGCACAAGACGCGAGAGCATGTCATGTTCACTGTTCCACCTTGTTTCCAAGTCTTGCCGCAGCTTGGTCACTGTGTTTGTAATGACTAACAATAGTGCGGCACTTCTTGAGAATGGTGGGAACTCCTGCTGTTTCTTCTTCGGCATCTTTCATTGGAACGCAAGAAATGCCTCTAAGGGCTGTACAAAATTTTCACACATTGTCCGTAACCAGATAAACTAGCACTTTCTGCAGTGACGGCTCCCAGTTATCTATCATTGCTTGCAAGTGCTCCAGAACGTTGCAAGCAGTGTGGCTCTCTATGACACTCCGGTAGTCCAGCGCAAAGCTTCTCATCTCGAAGCTGGAAGTTAAGTAATGGCAGGTGAAGCTGATGTAACTTTGGTTAGACCTCCATGTCAACATGTCAACATGTCACTTGTAGACGAGATAGACTCTATGCCTTCCTGGAAGCCCGCACGCATCCTCTTCTTGACAGCCTTGACTGTGCCTCTGTAGAACTCCGGGATGATTGTCCTTGAAAACATTGTGCAACTGGGTACCTTGTACAACGGCTCCTGTAAATCATCAGCTCTTTGAAACCCCAATTTTCGACACAGAGGTATGGCTGAAGGTCGAGCGCCAGCATTCGGACAATCCTGGTGGTTATCGCCGTTCTCTCGTGCTGCGATAGGTCTTTACCCGACTTCAGCGCACTTTTGATGAGCGGCTGCACACCGTCTGGTCTTTTTTGCTTCCCACAGTCTTTCAAAAACACACTGTGCAAAGAAAAATGCTTGTTCCCAAGATGGTTCGCAAGTGGCATCCTCACACTCGATGGCGTTTGAATTTTCGTTTCACAGCTTTTGCTCTCTTGTGCCAAGTTCTTACAAAACGTTTCCAAATGGCACTTTTCGTTCGCTCAGTCATGTCGCCCCTGACTGAAAGCAGGTCCGTTGGACTACGTTTTCCGACAGATAATGAGATGGAATTTGGGAGCAGAAAACGTCGGCTTGGTTTCCTATCGCAAAGGGCTTAATCAACCTGGTTTCGGATCGCCCGGCAAAATAACACAGACAGAGCCGTGGACGCAGAGCATGCAGGGCACTACCTCTATTCCGCCTGAAAAAATAGAGAAATCGATTGGCTCTGTGGCCAAGAGGTGGCGCGAGTACCACCCGCGCCGACTAGCGCAGACCACGCGCCGACCACAGCATGTCGTAATGCACGGTATCGCGGTTCACCATGGGGTGCTTTCGTTTCGTGCTCGAGAAATACTGTCGCCGATCCCTGTCCCGTGTTTTCGTTCCGTACCTCCGCATTTCAGTCGCCGATCCCTCTCAAGTGTAACTACAACTTTTGTTTGTGAAGGAAATGAGACATGTGGCTGTTTTAGTTTAGTTTCATGGCTCATCTGTGTCATGACCACAATTAAATCTGCATACTATCAGGTTCATGGCATTCAAACTTTACGTATTAAGAGCCCGTGCTCTAGACTAGTAGAACTAAAATGTGCTTCGGCTATTCTCCGTCAACCAGGCTCGCCGAATATATCAAATAATCGAGTAACCTAATACTTACGATTCAATTCGCGAATCGAACTATTCGAAAACTTACTATTCGGTTCGTATTCGTAAATTTGAGTATTTGCACACGCCTACCTCCTGTAATTTGTTTTTTAGAACTCCAGTCAAAGGTATAAAAATATTTAAAAATGAAGCAAAAACGGCAACCGAGCATTTCCTACATCTTACAGTACCAGGTGTTCGTTGTTTGCACACTAGTTCGCAATCTTGCTCCTGCAGATTATGCTGCTCGTCCCCTGCCTCTACTATGGTCGACTTCCGTTACTCCAACACCGACGGGACTTACAAAATCGATCTGAATTATCCGAAAATCGAATTAAAGAAAAGGCGGGAAAACAGCCCAAGCCGGACCCACTTTCGTTGGACGTAGTCGCGACGCTTTGTTGCCGTTTACGTCTGAAACAAGCATCGAACAGCAAGCTCCAGATAGCGTAGATACATTTGAACGCGCTTACAACCTCGCTCGGCCGCTCGGTTGGGGTGCTTTTGACAGCCTCCTTGTCACCTCCATTCCCTGCGTCCATCCTATGGCCAGTCACATTGACTACAATGTCATCATCCGTAAGTGGTCTGCAGGCATGTACATATGTAGTGCCTAAATTCAGAACAGTTCCACGCTCTAAATTCAGAGCCTCCCACAGACAATTCGTAAAGAAGTCTCCCCATGAAGCGGAGTTCCACAACCGAGTTAATCTAACAATGTTGCCAACCACCCTACCCCGAGCTGCTCACCCATAGCTCTTAAAGTGGTAGTTGCACCACTACCCCATAGCTCTTCAAGTAGCATAGTCGTCTCTCACTAATATGAGCCCCATTAATATGGGTAGCCCACTGTACAGACGTTTTCGGAGACGATTTGAGTAAATGCTCACATTTTTCTTACTCCCATTATTACTTACAACACGCATTACAGACGACTTTTGGGGGGAACGCAGGTGTCCATATTGACTAGACATCACTGTAGTTGTACCACTTACCCATAGTTACTGAAGTGGTAGCTGTGCAATTCACCCATAGCTGTTCCAATGATGGTGGTACCACTGACCCATGGCTCTTCAAATGGTAGTTGTACCACACCACTAGAGCAGCTCTTCCTATGGTAGTTGTCCCACTCACCTGTAGCTTTTAATATGATAGTTGTACCATACCCCTATAGATATTCCCATGGTAGTTGTACATACCCCTACAGCTCTGCAAATGCCAGCAGTCCCACTCACCCATAGTTCTTGAAGTGGTAGTTGTACCAGAGGATGTCAGCCTCCCGCTCGTCGTCCGTCAGCTCGAACGAAGGGTGTGTCAGGTGCTCGTTGACGTAGCGATACTCGGAGAACACCTTGAGCTTGCGGTCCGTCGGCACGGGCCCAAACGCCACCGAAGTGTCCGGCAGTGACTCCTCCTTGCGGCCGCTCTGCAGCATTCCAAACGTCCGGGTAAGAGAGCTCCGTCACAAGGGCCAGGTTAACCTCCCAACTGGGAGGTTACCCTGATAGACATTTGGGACTCGATCTTCCCCAAGTTTCATCTGGATTGAATCAGAAGTTTAGTCTTGCATAAAAGTAAACTTTGAAATGTGTTTTTCTTAAATTTGTTTTCGCCCTGGCTCCAGAGTTTGTAGACACATTTTTTCCTCCTTGCAGATAGATGTCAAGTCACAACGAAATTCTACACAGCAGTTCATGAGGGTGCACAGAATGTGCAAATCATGTTAGTTACGAGATAAATACTACCACTTTTACAAAAAATACAAAACAAAAAGTGCAATTGTTGAAAATACCAGCAGATAACTTTTTTATATTTTTATATATAAAAAGTTTAGATATTACTGATACAAATATTCAAATTGCTGATTCATGAAGGACCAACCTGGCTGATTAGGCCACTCTGTCTTTATACTTAGAAGAAAAATTGTGAGCATGAAACGTGTGTTTTTTACGCATGTCATGCATCAGACATACAGTCGATCCCAGTTATAACGAAGTCGACGCGATTTTTAAATATGTTTGCTATGGCCGCATTTTCCCATTGGCGACAAGATGTTTCGGTGATGCCACCTTGCGGGCACCCTCCTGCGATGTAGCGAGTATGATTCGAGCAGGTGATGCCCCAAGTAATCGCACAGAGTGGTTATGTTAGTTTCTTCCTATGTCAATAGATAACTCTTCATTTATTTTAAAGAATGCGTATGACATGATTAAGTGTTTTTTCCTACAGATGTGCAGAGTCCAATGCCACTTTTAAAAGATACAATTGTTGAAGTGTACAGAAACAAGCCTGAAGCTTGACAGACAGCTTGCGTAGCGTGCGTCACGGCAACTCCGACTCGTCTTTTGTTGGATCTGAGAAGACTCCCGTAGAAAAAGTTGTTTTGCCATCACCAAGGTGTAGAACGAACTGTTATCTTATGCTGAATTCCACCGGTCGTTTTGAAGCGTGCCGGGATCGACTTTTCTGGAGCGTGCCCATTTCACTGGGCAATCGGGATTGAGACGGATGTGTTCCGCTCGTCCTTTTGGATCGGCTCCCACTCGAGAACTCGATCCGGATCCGAGAAAAGTTGCTCCGCCGATTTCGGCGGATTCGACCGGAAGCCAGCCTGGCCAGCCTGCCGCAAACACGTGACTTCCTTTCTCGCCGGGCATCTCGCCGGGCATCTCGCCTTGTAAGAGATCCGGGACCGCGGGAAGGGGATTCTCAGGAAAGCATCCACTGATCCCAGGGGAGCGGTCATGTTCTACTGGGGATCCAGGGGTGGAGCAAATCGGTTCGGATTGCGTGCTCCACCTCGGATCTGGTCTACTGATCCCGGCGCACTCCAAAACGGCCAGTGGCATTCCCCATGAGCTGTTCACACGCGGCGTTATTGTGTTGCGCGGTGCAGTACATGCTTTGGCTAATATGGAGCTTACCGCTATCAACGCTTATGTTGTAGTGTGACTCGACAGTTGCTGGCAAGCCTTCGGACGAGGTCGTGCCAACTAAGTGTAACTGACTGTGCTTTTTTTCTTGCAATGATGTCGTCATCTCTTTTTTTGTTTTCTGATGTGAGGCAAAGGAGTTAACGACATTGTGACTTCTGTTCAAAAAAGAAGCTAAAATTTCCGCAACTTTCTACAATGCCTCGCTCGGCCCGGCTAATTATGGCAATTGGTTAATCGGTTTACTTAAATTTTTGTTAAAGATTTACTATAAATAATAAAGTTCTCGCTGAAAAGCGCGCCAGACATTGTGCACAAATTTGGTTTTGGTTCACGAAAACAAACATGCAAACAGTCGTAATCCATAACAGGCACATAACTCATTTTTGGAATGCTAAAGTCACCGACTCCTTAACTCTCACAGGCGTCAATCGCGGAGGTAGTTTCGCACGTTTTGCGTCGAATAAGCGAGCTAGCGGGCATTTAGTTGAAACGGGCCTGGGAGTCAGCCACCGGTTGTTTCGTGGAAGCAGGTTTATTGGTGCGCAAAATGCAAAAAGAAATAAACTTGGAACTAAAAAGAGACCATCACTCACAGAAAACAGGAAACCAAAGGAGGATACAAAGTGGCTTTTATCGAAGCGCTTACTACACATAGGATAGGTTTCCGAGTTTGGCCTGCCTGTTTACAGCTTGATGAGCTGTTTCTTCCTCAGTTTCTTCTTGTTCGGATAAAACAAAAATTACACCCTGCACTTCATGATGGGTGTTGTATTCAGGTAAGGTGCTGGATATTTTGTTTTTCATTCAGCGCTTTAGTACTGTGGTAGAGAACAGTATATCACCACCCCAGAGCGTCGAAAGCACCAAAAGTGATTGCTTAGCACGGTTATAAGTGCGACATCTTTGAACTGTGATAAAATGTGATGCCACAAATATCACTCCACAAAAAAAAACGTGTGAAACAGGCATGAAACACGCAAACAACACATGAAGCGAGCCGACGAGCCAAGGAATCTGCTGCGCCGTTTTATCTCTCTCCTACTTACTACGTCACAAACGATGATGATAGCTAGAGAAGCCTCCCCTGTTGTTTGTGCACGCCGCCAATAAGTGGAAAAGTGCTTAAAAAAAGCCACAACAAAGCCGCGTTTCGCTTCATTACAATAGAAGTTACGAGCGCTCTTTGTAACACGCGTTGCAACACACCTAAAAGCGTGCCTCTCCTTCCAGGAGCTTGAGCACTGCGGGAAAGCGTACGTAAAACAAGGAGCCTCAGACACGCATTATGCGTGCAACCTCCCCTGGTGCGACTGGACAACATGTTGTGAATACAGTGCGCAGACGCGATGTGCACTTTCAACGATCCGCAAAATACAAGAAAAGGAAAAAGAAAGTCTAGTAAGAGGAAGATCAACCACCTTTAATACTCCAGGAGGTAATAGACGAAACGGGAAGAAACTTTGCAGAAGTTCTTTCTGCGTGTATGTCTACCGGTGGCCATAAGCATGTCTGGTAGTCTAGGCAAGTGTAGGACACCGGCCAATCACTGCGAATCCATTTTCGCGTACCTTAATTCTTTAGAAAGACAGAGACGTGATTTTCCCATTCTCAGACATGTTTAAAAATCACTTCTTTTTCTCCTTTTGGTTGGGGCTGTAACGCAACCGAAAACCGTGTAGAATCTCAATATCTGGAAAACGCTCCAGCGACTCTTCCTAGCTCTTCAAAGCATCTGATTGAAAAGAATGCAGAATGTAGAAATCCGGAACACGCTTGCAAGAGACACAGCGAAAGTCACTCTCCCTGACTCCGTGAGGCAGGGGATCGAAGTGTGCACTGTCTTGGCAATGAGCGTCTTCATTCATCAAGAAAGCTAAACAACAACGTGCGCACGTCCTCCGTCTCGCTATGTCGACCTCACGTCGTCTGCTCGTGCTCGGCGTCCCAAGAAAGCAAGCAAAAATAGATGTAAAATCATTGGCAGAACAAAATTAAAAAATGTTTTAGGCGGTGTTTTGTTCATTCCTTTTGTTTGGCGTGTCCAATTTCCTCTTTTAACTGCGAGGAAAAAGGTATCCCTTCCCACACACATTCTCCGTTTTATTTACTCCTATGATTCCGAAACACCATTTTCTTGTAATTTTCATAAAAGATCTCAGCACTTCAAAAATTTTCTCTCGTTTTATTCACAGCGCGGCCTCCACTTTGTTCGTAAAAAAACGGGATAAAGTTAGATTAAAAGTATGGCAGCAGGAGCATGCCAAAAACATTTTTGTTATAACCAATATTTTGCTATACCCAGGTTTGTTATAAGTGGGTTTGACTGTATTGAACTAGAAGCAGAGAATTGATTTCATAAATAAAAAGCCCAATGTAAACAAATGCCCAATGCATACAAACTATGCAAATTTCAACCCCCTAAATTCAGCGTCAAAAGAAAGTATGCCCGAGGAGCATCTTCCCTGAATTTGGCTACTTGATGCACTGTGGCAAGTGCCTCATACCGCATATTTCTTCGCAATCTGTTAACTTTGATCTGGGCGACATGCAGCTTGCCAAAATGGCAGCACACTCTGCCAATCTGTAAGTGTGTCTATCAACTGTGGCTGACCCTGAGGAACTCCTCGCTGGGCTCAGCCTGGTTGCAGTCGACGTGGGTGAGGTCGCAGGGTTCCCAGGGCAGCAGGAGGGCCGCCCGGGTCAGGGGGTCGCAGGGGGGGCCCTCGGCAAAGTTGCGGGTGGCCTCCTCTGCGGGAAGACGGGGAGCGCCCCACAAACAGCGCGCCAACGCCCGTCAAACTCAATGCCCGAAAAACAGTATTATCAGCACCCTACAAACAGAGGACGAAAGCCTGCAGATGAGTGCACGAAGACCCGACGAACAGTTCGTGAACACTTCACAGTTTCCTTGATTGCCCAATGAACAGGGAATGAATGCCTAAAGAACTGCACATGAGGGCCTGATAATCAGTGCATGAATGTCTCACAAAGACATTCATGCACTGATAAATACACGAATACTTCATGAATACTGCATGAATGCCTCACGAACAATGCATGTAAACCTGAACAACTACGTAAGCCCCTGACTAAAAATGCAGAGATACTTAAAAAAACTAAAAAACCGAACACTAAACCTAACCTACAATGGAGCATGTCAGTTGTCCTGCACCCATTCTATTGCCGAGGAGATTGAACTATACAAGTGTATGTCCAGCTTGTTCTCCCCAGAGCTGTGCGTTTACCAAAAAGGCATGTACACTGGATTCTTTACTTCATCTTTCTCGATTGAACAAAGAGCAAAGATTGGGCAAAACTAGTGCCCAATATCTTCCCCGAGCCCGGTAGAGAAGAATTAAGTAAAAAGATTGTAGAATGCTGCGTCAGCGTGCAGCTTCCCCGACTGAACACGAGGCTGAGCCGAATGCTGACGCAATGTTCGGCTACATGGGCCGAGAGCTGCGTCAAAACACACACATATCATTTAGTATGTTCTTGTAGTCCCTATCGGCGTAGTTCTCAATTTAGCCACTAGGAGCATAACGGCTCGGTCTCCTTCCCAACGGACTGCACTTGCCTCACGCAAGATTTGAACTTAGCTACTGGAAATCCACGTTTTTCTAAATCAGAACCAATATAAGCACATTTCCCAAAGCATTGATGTGTTAGAACTACAGTAGAACCTCATTATACGACCTCGGTTTCTACGTTTTCTCGGATGTTATGTTCCCAAACGCTGGTATTGCCAAACTCCCAGAAGGGTACAGTAATACTTCGTTAAGGTCACAAAAACCGTGAAAAAATTCGAGATAAGCGAAATTTTGAGATAAGCAAAGTACTGGAATTTTTTACCTCTGATCGCGCGATGTTCTAAATAAAACTTTTAACAATCGCGGCAACATCAACTTCTCTGATGAGAGCAACTTTCCTTTCAAGCATCAATAATTTGCACTGTTTGGGCTGCACCATCTTCACGGCCAATCGAGTCATGTGCCAAAAACGTCGGAGGACAGACCCTTTTCAAAAGTCTACCGAGCAACATTGTTTGGACACCATTGCTTGCTCACGAAGTGTGTGATTGGCTCAGAGTCCTCGCCGAACACCGACGTCAAAGCTCGTTATCGGCACGAGCTGAGCCGAGTTGACACCTCTCGCTGACGTCACCCTCGTGTCCAATACATGCGCAGGGCATGTGAGCAAGCAATGGCGGACAGGCGTTGTCCGCCACTGCTTGCTCCTCTTGGTCCTACCTCTTGGTCCTACCATTGCACAATACCTCTTGGTCCTACCATTGCGCAATAACAGACAGGTTAGAAAAAAGAAAAGTAATGAATGCCACAAACTTTATAGCACGCAGATTTACTCACGTTGGTAACACAATCTGAACTTGAATCACAACCGAAACATCCCATTTGCGCCGCTTCCAAAGAGGAATTGTTGGGAAGCCGGAATTCCGCGCCATGCCTAATTCTTTTCACGAGTAAAGCCCCTCATTTCAAATTGAAACGCTGATGTAGACCACACTTGCCGCACTCACAGAAATCGGCGACTGCATCAACTGCATGATCACGGAGCGAAAGCCACGTTAACTATGCCGATGGAACCAGCCGAGTTTTCGTCGTCGTTCTTTCGAAAACGGTAGCCTCAAATTCTGATTCGGAGCGAAACGGAACAGGAGAATAGTGTGCCTAGATTTGAGAGGGTTTCTAACCGTTCGATAGCCGCGTTTAAATTACAAACTGCGAGATGGTGACAAAAAGACGAAAGTGTCGATCAGGATGAGGCAGGCAGGGCAGGTGTCGTCACACTTTGTTTGTTCACCTTCTTTCCACGCGACAACACAACACATGCACACTTACGACCAATCTGCGCTGGAGCCGCCTCCGTGGTTTCAGTTTCGCTTGCTCCCTCTTTTAAATCAAGGCTCTCTAAAACAGGATAAATAGACGGGAAAATGGATGCATAGCGGCAGTTGGACGGTAACTTGCGCCACCTAACCACTTTTTTTTTTTTTCTTACTTCACTTTATATTGTTTAAGCCAGTTTACTCAGATTTAACACCTATCTGTTTATTTATGCGAAATAAATGCCAGGTGCCCCTTTCCTTCCCTAAAATGGAAACCAAATATTGCAAAACGCCCCTTTTCTGAGATATACAAATATTTAAAAAAAAAGAAGTCGCGGTGCTAGGTTGTGCTTTTAACGAAAAAACAGGCAGGCGTGGCTGTAACGTTGGTTTCTTTTGTGACGTTTAGGGTGGATAGATGATGTTTGCGCCATAAAATTGTATCTTTAGTACCCAACGTCCAACAGCAACTGCTTTTTTTTTTCACCAGAACTTTTTTACATTTTAGTTTTTGTTCCGTACGAGATGCATATTCTGCACCAGGCGCATACTCTGCACATGTAATAATATCATTTGCACCACATTTTGAAAAATTCCTACAAATAAAATCACTATTCTATATTCAATTTGATATTCGGCTTTTTTTTCTTAATTCGATTCGGTATTCGATTCGAAAACTACTATTCGATATTCGCACACCCCTAACAAAGAGCAGCAACACTCGAAACGAACGAGACTGACGAGACAACGACCGGACCTGGAAGGGAAAGGGAAGAACCCAGAAGCAGAGAGAAAACCAAACACAGAGACGAAAAAAACCACTCGAGGGAAAGGGCGCACTTAACGCCAGGCATCCCGGCTTGCCATTGGCTTGTCCAAGTGGGGGTCGTAAAAACAAAAACAAAAAATATGGAAAAAAATAAGACAACAAAAGTTTTTTTAGACGCACGTCTCTCCGTGTCTCCGTGCACAGCACCCCCAGTTCTCTTTTTCTTTGTGCTTAACCGTTGTTGTTTTTTTTTGTTTGTTTTTTGCAACACATTTTGTTGTTTTTTGCGTTGTTTTTTGTTTTTTTTTTTAGATTTTCGCTGACGAGATTTTGAGATATCCAAAGTCCGTCCTGAAAACCTTTCGAAATAAGCAGGGACAAAATGCATTGTGCCTATGGGAGCTCATTTCATGACAAGGAAATTTTACGACTTAACCACTATTTCGAGGTAGCCGTGATCAAGTTTATGAGGTATTACTATTGACGGCTCTTTGGCGAACGCCAGAGTGCGTTGGCTATGAGGAAGGTGCCTGGAAGCATGGTCAGAGGGGCTCATCTTTAGAAAATAACTTCTCAGCAACAACAAAAAGTACTTTTCTAATTTTTTTTTTTTCTATGTTGAAGAGAGGTGGATTGAACTTTTGGCTATTTCTAAAGTTGTGGGCACCAATGTCCAGATCGCTTTTTCTGGATCTTAATAAGGCCTCTTCTGTAGAAACTAGAGATTTTGCCATCTAATTAAAAACAACAAAATGAAGCCTCGAGAATATAACACAGGCTAGTCAATTATTAGTTCTCAGTGAACAAAGGAAAAAAGTATTGTAGCTAACACCCAACTCCAAGTTCGCTAAAAAAAATAAAGAAATCACAGTTTCTGCTTTTTGGAGCTCCAATTTGGACTCAAAATGGAACCTGTTAATATTTGTATTTTAGTGTAAGGTAGTGCACATTATTAAGGAACTAGCTATGCACCTAAATTTGTGCAATATGCAACCGTTTTTGTTGTTTGTTTCCAAAACATCTTTTTTTAATTACGTGGGCATGAGTTCAGAGGCTTCTTTATCCAAGTTCAACTTTTCGCACAGATCCCAGACATGAAAAAAAAAAAAATGCCGTGTCTCCTTTGGCATGGAATGACCCTCTCCTAGCTTTTGTGTCAAAGTAGAAAAATGAAAAGCCTGTGGAAATATTTTTCATTTATTATCTAATTAAACAATTAACCTACGACTCTAATAGCTTGCTCTGGAATCTCCAAGAACGCAGGGTCATCGATAAATCCGGACTTTTTCCAGATTTCGTCTCTCGACAATACAGTGAAGCTAACCGTCCGTATTATACGTGTCTGTGGCCACGCAATTCGACAGCGGACCATCGCATGATAAACGATTGGCGACTTGCTCAAAAATGAGCCAGGAATACGACCGGAGGGCAGCAACACTCGAATCGCTTCGCGCCAGAAAGGCGTGCCTAAGCAAATCTTTGCATGGCATGGCTGCAACAAGACACAAGTTTACAACTTTGCCAAGACAATCAGATAATGTGTCAGTCAGGAAGACGTTAGGGCGAACTGAGCAAAGTGCAAAAGACGGTCGATAATCATTTTATCTTTGCCCCTGTGTGTTTTCCCGAATATGGTAAATTTTCCCAATTTATCTCGAAGACCCTGTATGTTACCCAGGCTACTTTTACATATATGTCTTCTTAGACTTCTTTTGATTCGGGGTGTGCGAATACTCAAATTTATGAATTCGAATCTAATAGAAAGTCCCCGAATAATTCAATTCGCGAATCGAATTCCTAGTATTCAGTCGCTCGAATATTCAATATATTCAGCCAAAAACGCTCGGTCGGCGCGGAGCTGGCAAAAGATGTTTTTTCTCCCAATGTTAGCGCCGTGATGTTCAACAAACCATGCAAGAAACCTCTTGGTCCTACCATTCCACAAAAATCTAACGCTCAGGTTAGAAAAAAGAAAAGTAACGATCGCCACAAACTTTATAGCATGCAGATTTACTCATGATCGTGAAGCAATCTAACCTTGAATCACAACCGAAACATCCCATTTGCGCCGCTTCCAGAGAGGGATTGTTGGGACGCCGGCATTCCGTGTCATGCCTAATTCATTTCACGCGTAAAGCCCCTCCTTTCAAATTGAAGCGCCGATGTAAAACACTTGCCACACTCACAGAAATCGGCGACTGCAAGATCACAAAAAGAAAACCACGTTAACCGCGCCGATGAAACCGGCCGAGTTGTCGTTCTTTCGGAACTGCAAGCCGCAAATTCTGATTCGGAACGAAACAGAACGGAAAAATAGTATGCCTAGATTTGAGAGGGTTTCTAGCCATTTGATAGCCGCTTTTGAATTATGAACTGCGAGAAGGCGACGAAAAGACAAAAGCGCCGATCGGGCAGGTGTCGTCGCTCTTCCGTTTGCTCGCCTCCTTTCCACGCGACTACACAACGCATGCGCACTTATGACCAATCTACGCAGGAGCCGTCTCAGCGGTTTCAGTTTTGCTCGCTCCCTCTTTTAAAACTAGGCGCTCTGAAACAGGATAGATGGATGGAGGAATGGATGCATAGCGGCAGTTGGACAGTGACTTGCGCCACCTGGCCATATGTTTTTTTTTTCTTACTTCAGACTATATTGTTTAAGCTTGTTTACTCAAATTTAACAGCTATTTGTTTATTTATATAAAATAAAATTCCGGGTGCATTTTTTTCCCCTCAAAATTGAGACCAAATATTGCAATATGCCCCTCTTCTGAAATATATAAACATAAAAAAAAAGGACATGCCGCGTGTTTTAGGTTGTGCTCTTAACGAGGGAAGAAGGCACGCGTGGCTGCAACTTTGGGTTGTTGTGACGCTTAGAGTATATCGATTATGTTTGCGCCATAAAATTGGATCTTTAGTGCCCAACGTTCATCAGCAACAGCTTTTTGTTTTTTAGCATTTTTATACATTTGAGCTTTTGTTCCGTACGAGATGCATATTCTGCACCAGGTGCATACTCTGCACATATAATCATCTCATTCGCAGCACACTTTGAAAAATTCCTACAAATGAAATCACTATTCAATTCGATATTCGGCTTTGTTTTCTTAATTCAATTCGGTATTCGATTCGATAGCTACTATTCGCTATTCGTACACCCCTACAAGTTTTAATAAGCTAAAGAAAGTTCTGCAGCCATTCAAGACTGTCGCCGTGAGACCGCAGCTCGACTATCTACAATCCGAGGAACCAATTTTCGTGGCAATGTCCGGAACGCTTCGTATTGAGGAACGCACGAATGAAACGTAAGCGAGAAAGGAAGCTAGCGTGGCCGGTTACCTCCGCAGGCGACGTCCTTGACCGGGTACAGCACGCTGTAGGACTCTCGCTGGGCCATGTAGTAGAAGGGCACGCAGCGGAAGGAGGGGCTCTCGCTGCAGTGCTGGATGCGGGAGCCAAACTCATCCATGATGTACCTGCGCAAGATCATCCCATAGAGTTCACGCTGTTACAACCGTGACGGCGCCTTGCCACATACGCGGGGTCAGGCGACAACTGTCGTGTGGAACATCGTTGGAGTATCTCAATCCTGTTGAGTAACTACAACACAGTCAACGAGCAAAGAAGACGCACAACGAGCCGAAAAGTTTGTTTATTTAAGAATACCGCAATCCCTCGATGGGATCTTCGCAGGCGGGTGAGTGGTAAAGAAAATATAACAAACTCATACAAACCATTCATCTAATTCACCAAATAGCCAGTTTAAAGCAAAATTAAAATTTTTTTATGTTGTTTGCAGTAGAGGTGTGTGGAAAACACCACAGAGTGGAACAAATTACGAAACCCAGATGCTAAGACATAACCTCCCATCGTTACTAAATAATTGAATAGGAAACAACATCACTGGTGAAACGCTAACACCACATTCTACCAAAATTCTATTTATTAAGCATTTTCATCAAGCTCCTCCCGCAAAGGAGAGAAGTCTACCGCCTTCTCTCCAGCATTTGCTTTGCATGAGTGGAAAGAGTGAACTGTTTCCTGGGAGGAGCTCATGCTGCTTTCCTTAACCCACAACGGAGTATAGTTGTGTGCAGGTCGTAACAAGTGAATCCTTTTTTTATATTTGGGAGTTTATTGTTTGCTTTCTTTTCTTCTTTCATTGCAGTTGTATTTTTTGCATAAATTGTTTTATCATCTGCCCGTCGCTGCTGAGAAAAGAGAATGGGTCCGGTCAAGCCAACGTACCTTGGCGTTTTGCATATGCCTCTGTCACCCGTACAAATGTATATGCAAAAATAAACTCAATTTGACTTCGAATGTATTTTAGCTAGAGTTCAGTATTGACACCATGCGTATTGTCTACAATAGACAATTAGGAAGCCAGATTTATTTTGACTACGGACAGCCTCTTAAGGAGACTTGCTTGGTCTCGTACATTCACACGAAAGGAGGCTAATGTGAGATAGGGTTTTTCGTATAAAGTTGTTAATGGCACATTTGATGCACCTTTTGCTTCTTAATGACGTTCTCTGTTCCACAAAAGCATATCAAACTTTTTCTTTTACCACTTGAAAGTTGATGTCGCATCCCCAACCACATGCTTACGGCTTCTTTATAACTGTGAAAAGAGAGACTTGCACCTATTTTGTCCCATTGTAAATTATAAAAGAGGCTAGTCGGCATCTTAACGGTATGTTTTTGGTCCATCCTGCTTTAGTTTACTATTAAATTGTTAAAAAGTTCCACTTTCTTTTTGCACTTTTAGATTTGCATAATGCGCATTCTTCTAAGGTCAAGAGCTGTTTGAGTTCACAGTAAACGAAGCAAACAACAATAACCCCAAAAGGGTTCCATCTTTTTGGGGTTTATTTTCCTTTAAATTCTGAGTATTTTTTTCAGTTTGTATACTTTGCCATAGATTTGGTGTTTTTGGTGTCTACATTGAAGCCTCGCTAACCGGAAGTCATAAAAACTAGAAAATATTTTAGATAACCGGAGTTTTCATTGCACTGATCACACATTATGCGAATGGAACCCTTCCAAGAATCCAGCAACTTGACTTGACAAACACAAGGCCTCCCCTGTGGGGAGAACAAACTGACCTTAACAAAATTATCAACGAGCAACACTCGCGGCATCTGTGTTCAAAAATAAAAAAAAAAAAAAGAGAAAGCATTAAGAACGAGCGGGAAATGCTCAGACTGTACAGCAGCAAGGACAGGGTCAGAGAGCAAAAGCGAAAAGCAAAGACCAGAACAGAACATCTGAATCTTGCTCGCTGAAATGAACCGAAAACTTGACAGTTTGCTGTCACTAAAAACAGCAGTGGAAAGCATTGAGCATTCAGTTCAGATGCTCTCTGACCAGTACGACGAAGTCTTGGAGCGCCTAATTGTCCAAAGGAACAATATTAGTGGCCTAAAAAAGCCTGCAGGAGCTCAAATCACAGCTAAACTATCTCGAGTGGCGCAGCCGAAGCAGAACCTCGAGATTCACGGTGTGTGCAAGACGGCAAGGGAGGACCTTTTAAGCGTCGTAAATGATGTGGCGGCAAAACTTGGTGTCAATCAGCTAAAGTCAGAAGAAGTCTTGGCGGTGCACAGATTACCTGCTAAGCCACGGTATACGAGAGGTATTATAGTGCGCTTTGCTAGGCAAGAAACCAGAGAGCTCTAGTTGAGCAAAAAGCGGGCTTTGAACAGGGCTTCTGGCACTGCTCACCTGTACGTTGCAGAGAACATGACGAGGAAAGGAAAGAATCTGTTTTGGCAGGTAAAGGAGTGGGCAAGAGCGAAACATTATCAGTTCGTCTGGTACAGGAACGGAAAAGTGCTTGTTCGACAGGGAGAGAGAGCTAAGGCCCACGTAACCTCATGCAAAGACGAATTGCAAGTACTGAGACGTAAGGTGACCCTCTCGGGTGAATATTTCTTAGTGTTTCGTTTTTATAATGGGCACTGCACCCATTAACTTTCCAAACTTTGTTGCTTCAAAGCAACCCCTTGGTTTATCGTTTTTCCACTGAAATGCTCGGTCTGTGAAATAGAAAGTTGATGACCTTGGTATACTTTTTGACTGCCTTGGTTCTTCTTTTGATGTCATTATACTGTCAGAAACTTAATATAAAGATGACTCGAATGTTTTAGTCTGCCACAATACAGGCATTACTCGCTTTGCTGTGAAGAACATGCTTTAGAGTGTGTACTCGTATCTGAATTCACCTAAGTTACTGATGATCATGAGCTATTGTGTCTATGTTACAGGGAATATCTCTTCGCCGATGTGTATTGCCTACCATCCACAAATGTATCCAAGTTTATAGATTACTTCGATATGTTTCGCAGCTTTACAATAGTGAACCGCTATGTACTTTTTCTCGGCAGGCCTTCATACAAGCGATTGAAATAAATGGTTTTGACTATAGTGAAACGAAAGCAACGAGAGTCACTGGCTCCACATCAACCTTAATTGATTTCTTTGTTACTAATTGTGATGTATCCTCTGTAATAGCTGATGTTATTAGCGTTGATATCAGCAATCATCTACCAATATTTCTGTTGATTAACAAACCTCGTGCAGTAGAAAAAGACCCGTCACAAAAAACCTTCAAAGTGCAAAACGTTACTGATGTTACAATGGGGGTGTTTCGAGATGCTTCACTCGCTGTAAATTGGGAAACAGTTCACTTGAAATTAAATGCCAATCATGCATATGATTCCTTTTTACAAACATTTAAAAAGCTGCACAATGAGAGTTTTCCTTATAGAACTGTAAAACAGCATAAAAAATTGCGCATGCCATGGATGACGAAAGAGTTATTGCACAAAGTGCTTAAGAAAACCAGCACATACTAGTAGCGCTTTTTAAAAACAAGAGACTCTGAAAACCTAAAAGCCTTCAAAATGTATTGCAACCAACTAACTGGCTTGTTACGACACGCCAAGTAAGCATACTACACAACCCTCTTTACAAGAGATGATAATAAAAATTTGCGTATACTCTGGGAAAGGGTAAATAAAGCCTTGCATCCTCACCACGAACACCAAATATTAGATAATATTGTCACGGGTGGTGACCAAAAAACAGGAAATAAACAGGAAGAAATAAACGTTTAGTGTGGCGAACTTGTGCCAAAAATAAAAGGGTACAAAAGATAACAACAGAGCGTCGCGGGCGTCTAAGTCGGCGTAGCAGCACAGTCGAACGCTGGGGCGAAAACTGACTCCGCTCTCCTTACGGAGCCCCTTATGTACCCTCGTTGGTTTCTGGGTTATTCGGCGTAGAACTTTCGGTGCGTATAGCAATCGAAACACGATCAGGCGAGAATGTTCTCGAACTTACGAGAAGCCCAAGTTGAAAGAATAAATAAAAGGACAGTCCGCTGACTGGAATCGAACCTATACCTTCCGCGTGAAAGTCAAGCGCGGTAACCACTGGGCCACGCGCGCGCTTGCTTGCCCACGCGCATGGCAATATAAACTGCAGAGACAACCATTTGTCCGGCTGTGCTTTGGCAAATGCATTTAAGAATTATTTTGTCAGCCAATCAAGTGATATAGATACACCTCAAGATGGGCTTGATGCTAGTAGGTATATGGAACGTAATTTAGAAACTCTTTTTTTATGAGCCCTACTGATGAGGATGAAGTGTTTGCAGTTTTTAGAAACTTGAAAAACTCCAGGAGTCAAGATGTAGAGGATCTTAACATTAAAGTGATTAAGCATACTCTCGACACAGTGACACAGTGGTATCGGTGTTAATGTAAATGTTGAATCTATCATTTTCTTCTGGTGTTTTTTTTAAAGCAATGCAGTGTGCTAAGGTTCTCGCTTTGTTTAAAGGAGGGGACAAGAATATGTTTAAAAACTACAGACCCATTTCTCTTTTATCCATTTTCTCTAAAGGTCTTTAGAAAATCATTCATAAAATACTTTTTATTTACCAAGAAAATTTTTATATAATTTCTAATAGCCAAAAATATTGCTCAACTGAATCAGCATTGTTAGTACAAAAGCAACAAATTATAGAATGTTTATAGAATAAAGGACTCATCATGGATGTATATATTGACCTCTCCAAAGCATTTGATTTAATTAATCAAAACATTTTGTTCATAAAGCTAGAAAATTACGGCAGAGTGGAATTGCTTTAGACCTACAGTATAGACCACTTACAACGTAACCGCTTATAGTGCAGGACCGGGTATAACGCGGTTTTTTTAAACCACCGGTTCGCCTCCCATAGAACTCCATGTAATTACATACCGCTTAAAACGCAGGCGCGCGACGGGAAATACCGGTTATAGTGCGGTTTCTAGCACAGCCCGCCGACCGCGCCGACGACCGGAGCAGCGAGCACGCTTGCCTGTGCACCACTAGATAACGGCGCTGACGGCGCGAGCCGCAAGCGTTGCGCAGGCGGCACTCGCGGGGCAAGGAGGGTGCTCGAAGAAGCGGGACAAGCGAAGAGAGA